CTGGTTTTCTCGATGGGACAGGAAGAGGGAGATCTGAGGGTGAGGAACTTGTGTCTGACACCCTGGTCATGGTCAGATCACTTCCTCATGAGATTTGAGCTCGAGAGCGACCTTTCCCTCTGTAAGGGTGCGGACCCGATTGTGTTGGTCCGCCCCCGGAGCTGGATGGATCTGGATGGATTCCTGAAGGTTCTGGGGGAATACCCAGTTGATAAGGCTGGTGCTCCTATCGATGCCTTGGTCGAACTGTGGAATGGGGAAATGACAAGGGCTATTGACACGATTGCTCCTAAGCATCCTCTCCCACCTGGCAGAGCCCTTCATCCCCCTGGTATACACCTTAACTACGGGTGATGAAGCGGGTTGGGAGATGTCTAGAGTGTAGGTGGAGGAAATCACGGGATGAATCTGACCGAACACACTTAAGAGACCATTATCGGGCCTATGCTGTGGCAGTAAGGGTGGTGAAGAAGAAATTCTTCTCCGCTTCCATTGCCTCCTCACAATGCCGTCTGGCGGAGCTCTTTCGGGTGGTACAGGGGTTGGTTCACCCAGGCCCCAAAAAAGACCTTGTGCCACCCTCAATGGCCCGCTGTGACAACTCTGACAAGCATTTCAAGGAGAAAAATCGCTCAGATTCGTCATGAGCTGGACTCCACTAGTGACTCAGAACCTTCTGGGGAGGTGCCAATGTTGCCGTCTGGTCCAAAATTGATGGATGAGTTTCAGTTGTTGCAGCCTGATGATGTGGACAAGGTGCTTGGACAAGTACGTCCCACCACCTGCTTCCTGGACCTTTGCCCATCTTGGCTACTTAACAAAGCCAAGCATGGGATAGGGGCCTGGATCCTGGAGGTTGTCAACGCCTCTTTAAGGGACAGCTGGGTACCTGCCCCTTTAAAGGAGGTGGTAGTCCGGCCAGTCCTAAAGAAGGCATCCCTGGATCCAGAGATGGCTGCCAAATATAGATCGGTGGCCAACATCCTGTTCTTGGGCAAGGTGTTGGAGCTGGTGGTGGTGGGACAACTCCAAGCACTCTTGGATGAAACTGATTATCTGGACCCATTTCTGTCCCGGGTATGGTACTGAATCTGCCTTGGTTGACCTGTATGATGACCTGTGCAGGGAGAGAGATGGGGGAGTGCGTCCTTGTTGGTTCTCCTGGACCTCTCAGCGGCTTTCGATACCATCAACCATGGTATCCTTCTGGATAGGCTAGCGGGTTTGGGAGTTGGAGGCACTGCCTTGCAGTGGTTCCGCTCCTATCTCAATGGCCGATTCCAGAAGGTGGTGCTGCGGGATTATGGCTCTGTGCCATGGCAGTTATGCCATGGAGTTATGCAGGGATCCATTTTGTCCCCCTTGCTATTCAACATCTACATGAAACCGCTGGGAGAGGTCATCAGGAGGTGTGGGCTGCGGAATCATCAGTACGCTGATGATACCCAGCTCTACCTCTCTTTTTCAACCAGTCCAGGTGAGGCAGTGGATGTACTGAACCGGTACCTGGCTGAGGTAATGGGCTGGATGAGGGCCAATAAACTGAAGCTCAGTCCAGACAAGACAGAGGTCCTGTTGGTGGGTGGTTCAAGCTTTGGGGTAGGGGACCTGGACCTTGTCCTGAATGGGGTTGCACTCCCTCTGAGGGACAAGGTTCGCAGCTTGGGAGTGCTCCTCAACCCAGAGCTTTCATTGGAAGCTCAGGTGACGGCGATGGCGAGGAGCGCTTTCCTTCAGCTTCGGCTGATCCATCAACTGCATCCCTACCTGGAGAATGATTGCCTGGCGACAGTGACATGCACTGGTAACTTCCCAATTAGATTTCTGTAACGTGCTCTACGTGAGGCTAACCTTGAAGACGGCCCGGATACTTCAATTGGTGCAAAACAGGTTGCTGACGGGGACTGGGCGTTGTTCTCATATAACCCTGTCCTCTGTCAGCTTCACTGTCGTCCCATTGAAGTCCGGGCCCAATTCAAGGTGTTGGTTATGACCTATAATGCCCTCAACGGCTTGGGACCTGGTTATCTAAAGGAGCGCTTGCATCCATATATGCCTTCCCGCCCCTTGAGAACGGCAGCAGAGGCCCTTCTCCAGGAACCCTCCATGAAAGATATTAGGAGGGTGAGTACCTGGGGGAGGGCCTTCTCTGTGGTGGTGCCCCACCTATGGAATGCGCTCCCCAGAGAGGTCTGTCTGGCGTCGTCGTTGTTATTTGTTTTTCGGTGCCAGGCCAAGACTGTTTCATTTAAAAATTGTTTTAATTGTTAATATATTGATTGTATTTATTGGGTTTTAATGTACGTGCTGAGATGTTTCCGGATTTTTAAGGCTAATTATATAATTGTTTATTTATGTTATAAGCCGCCCCGAGGCTTTTTGAGAATGGGGCGGCATAGAAATTGTTTAAATAAATAAATAAATAATCTTGCCATCTCGTCTTAATCTCTTCTGCCTCTGTTAGGTCCCTGCCATTTTGGTCCTTTATCATGCTCATCTTTGCCTGAAACGTTCCCTTCATATCTCCAATTTTCTTGAAGAGATCTCTGGTCCTCCCTATTCTATTGTTTTCTTCTATTTATTTGCACTGTTCATTTAAGAAGGCATTCTTATCTCTTCTAGCTATTCTCTGGAATTCTGCATTCAATTGGGTGTATCTTTCTCTTTCTCCCTTGCCTTTCGCTTCCCTTCTTTCCTCAGCTATTTGTAAAGCTTCTTCAGACAGCCATTTTGCTTTCTTGCATTTCTTTCTCTTTGGGATGGTTTTAGTTGCTACCTCTTGTACAATGTTGCGAACCTCCGTCCATAGTTCTTCAGGCGCTCTATCAGATCTAATTCCTTAAATTTATTTGTCACCTCTACTGTATATTCATCAGGGATATGATTTAGGTCATACCTGAGTGGCCTAGTGCATTTCCCTATTTCCTTCAATTTAAGGCCAAATTTTGCAATGAGAAGCTCATGATCTGAGCCACAGTCAGCTCCTGGTCTAGTTTTTACTGACTGTATAGAACTTCTCCATCTTTGGCTGCAGAGCACATAGTCAATCTGATTTCTGTGTTGACCGTCTGGTGATGTCCATGTGTAGAGTCGTCTCTTGGGTTGTTGGAAAAGAACGTTTGCTATGACCATTGTATTCTCTTGACAAAATTCTACCAGACTGTGCCCTGCTTCATTTTGTACTCCAAGGCCAAACTTGCCTGTTATTCCAGTTATCTTTGGTTTCCTACTTTAGCATTAATAAGGACATGATGATAAGGACATCGTTTTTTGGAGTTAATTCTAGAAGGTGTTGTAGGCCTTCATTGAACCGGTCAACTTCAGCCTCTTCAGCACCAGTGGTTGGGGCATAGACTTGGACTATTGTGATGTTGAATGGTTTTCCTTGGATTCGAACTGAGATCATTCTGTCATTTTGGAAATTGTATCTCAGTACAGCTTTTCCTAGTCTTTTATTGACTATGAAGACTACTCCATTTCTTCTGAGGGATTCTTGCCCACAATAGTATACCTGATGGTTATCTGAATTAAATTCACCCATTCCTGTCCATTTTAGTTCACTGATTCCTAAGATGTCGATGTTCAGTCTTGTCATCTCTTGTTTGACCACATCCAGCTTGCCTTGATTCATGGATCTTACATTCCAGGTTCCTATGGAATATAGATCTTTACAGCTTCGGACTCTCCTTTCACCACCAGATACATCAGTAACTGAGTGTCCTTTCGGCTTTGACCCAGTCGCTTCATTCTTTCTGGCGCTACTACTACTTGCCCTCTGGTCTTCCCCAGTAGCATACTGGACACCTTCCGACCTGAGGGGCTCATCTTTTGGTGTCATATCTTTTTGCCTTTTGGTACAGTCCATGGGCTTTTCATGGCAAAGATACTGGAGTGGGTTGCCATTTCCTTCTCCAGTGGATCACGTTTTGTCAGAGCTGTCTGCTATGACCTGTCTTGGGTGGCCCTGCACGGCATAGCTCATAGCTTCACTGAGCTAGGCAAGCCCCTTCGCCACGACAAGGTAGTGATCCATGCAGGGATTAATTGTCTAAATTGTGTTTACATAACACAGTAACACAATTAAACTATCTAGAGAGCCATGTGGCTATGAGACGGTATACAAAAAAAAAGTGTTAAATAAGTGCCTTTGCAGGGCATCCAATATCACCGACTTATCACAGATTTCACTTTGGATTGTATTGTTGTGATGTGGGGTTTGTGAGTATTTGTATACTATGTAATTCTATGCTATATGGACTATAACGAATCAGATGTTTTCTTGAATTGCTTCTACATATGATAAACTCTGTATTACAAGAACTTGAAAATGTATACTGAAAACTTTCATTCCATTTATAAGCGCTTTTGGCACTTCATTGAGTTATATGCACTTTCTTTCTATAAAATCATAACTAGTATTAATCAGTAATGCCAGGAAAGCATGTGATATGCAGCTAGATTTATCAAAAGCATTAAGTAGTATTAATAAATTTATTAACCAGATTTATTAAATGCATTAACAGGTCACATTAATATTTTAATTAAATATTGACACAGTGGGAGACTCCCATCTATTTTCACCACTATTCCCCAGCAAAAAATCTGCTATATGCAGAATGCTTAGCAGATTAACCAGTAACAGTGTTGGAGTACCATGGGCAGAACTGAAATATAGCCAAGTCGCTTGATGCAAGGGTTTCTTGTTGAGCACTCAAGTTGGAATCCCATGCACACTGCACACTAATGTGGAAGTAAAACCTATGAAACAAAGTGGTAATTATTTTGACTCAAATTATATAAACATTCAGTGTTTAATTTGGTCCCAAAACTACTTACGTATGCCTAATTTTGTTGAATTTCCTTATTGCTTCAAGACTATTCCCAAAAAAGTGATTCATTGTTTTGCAGCCTTCAGTTCAATAATAACATTTCCATTTAAAAGAAAGCAAAGAACATAAATATAATGAATAAATTGGCTGAGTTAAATGGGGGATCATTACCTTTATTTTCCCAGTTAGGCCTCCAACAAACAGCATGGCATTTGCATCCACATCCAGAATAGTGTAACCAGGTGGAGAAATTGCACTGGAAATACTTGGTACAATAGCAGCTTTAGGACCCTCTAATGCCTGCACGGAAACAGTGCCATTTCTTCCAGTCCTTCAAGAGTAAATGAAAGTGGAGAGGGAGAATTTAGCATTAATCAATTAATAGGTACATTCCCATGGCTCAGTAAAGATGTTCACACACACAATGAATTTCTCTACAGGAGTCTTAAGGTCTAAGGAGGCAGGGTCTCCACCTTGACGATCAAGATAACCCGCAAGGGCTGCCTCAAGTACTGGGCGCTGTTAGCCTAATTACCCTCCTTGGTACAGCTTGTCCTGTCCAGGCCCTCCTGGACGGCAAGGCTTGTTCAAGGGGAAAACAACCCTCAAGCAACCCATGGTTGGCTGGGACATACTGTGCATTGTAGACTTCTTCCTGTCTAGACACAGAAAGGATCTTTACATTGCTGCTGGCTTTCACTATGATGCATCTTTAAACTTCTAAAAGTAATATGTTTTCTCATAATATGGGATTATACACTTTTAATTCTGTGACCTTCCCAAGGGCTTCAGCAATTGGACAATATAAATAAATAAAAGTATATCAACAACTGTCCTTCTATATATATGGGAGGAGAACAGTTCTAAACTTTATTTGAACAAACAATACACAAATATGAAACCTCCAAACCCTTTCAAGTAAATCTGAAAGCTCTCAACTCAAAAGTCAAATACAAAATATAAAATCTTGAATGAATTAGTTTCATGGATATTGTCTGCTTCATGCATCAACAATATTTTTATTTTATGGAACAGAAATATTGTCATTTTCTTTCTTTCTGTAGAAATGTCAGGCCTTTACATTCCAATCTGTTTTGCTTACATGAATCGATAATACTAACAGTATATGCATGGCATCCCTTGGTGAATATTAGCTAGGAAATAACAGAAATCACAGTCATGCAAATTGCTAGCAAAAGCGTTAAACAATTCTAATAGTGCCTACTGCATAATTAGACAGTAAAATGAAATGTAAAGTATACTTTACATTTATATAATTGTACTAAAGTATAATTATGCTATAGAACATACCTAACAAAACATGAATAAGCATTTCATAGACAAAACTAGTTAATTAGTGCAAACTTCTAATGAGCATTGTGCTTGTAATTCTTGTCAGGTACAACTTCTAATGAGATTGACAGTGTCTGGATTCAACACTCCAATTTCAAAATTAATCTTACACCGACTACTCCTAGAGAAAAATAAGGTCAGTGAGATTTTATATTACAGAACCCTCTGTAATATATGAAGCATGCCCTGTCATGTTCCTCCCCTTTGTGGTTACAATTTATTTTTAGGAAAGGACATCAGAGAAATTGCTTTGTGGGGGAGATAAGATTCAAAGCCGCACTCTTGGATATAATTGCGATTAAGCTGCATAAAATCCAGCATGCACTTAAGAACATTGGTTATGCTTTATGTCATTAGAAGGAGTGAAGGGGGCAGAGCAAACTTGGCTTTGACCATTCCATGTCTTCCACTGTTGGAGAAAGCGTGGAACAAGTCAAGTAGATGTGGCTGAGGCACCAGATGGATCAACCACTTGGGGCCTTGCCCAGGGCAGCTAAGCTGCTTCTTCTGACCCAGAAAGCACACTCAAACTAGAGCCTCACCCCTTGCTGAAGCAGCAGGTGCAGGATCCAGCCAGTGTTTCAGCTGGGGGCTCCAGGCCATGCTCCCTGATGCCATACAGCCCCTGGGTGGGAACCTGTCTCTCCTCCCACTCAAGATAAGTTCCTGTCCTATACAGGCAACATTCAGTGCTGGACATATTCATATGATTAGATACATGAATGAAGGAGAGCAGATTTGTTGATTAGAATTAGCCATGATGGATAAAGGGAACTTCCACCTTCAGAGTCAGCATGACTGTAAATATTGGAGGCTTAGGGCAAATGGCAAGAATGGGCTGCTGCCCTTGGACTGGGCACAGTTGGACAAAAATTACAGGATATAAAGCAGGAATTTTCCTACACTCTTTGGTCTTTGGATTTAGAAGTTATGCAAGAACTGAGCTTAGCTGAGAGAATGGCTTATTCTTTATGATCTTACTAATGACAGTATTTACCATTGATAATATTTTCCAGTCACTGAGTTTGGAAAAATGGAAGTGACACATACCCGAATGGGAAAATACATAGCTCAGCCAAGTGGAAATGCAGTCTAAGCATTGCAGGAGACAATACACACAGTGAGAAAGTTTCATGAACAAGGCATTTCCAAAGTCAACTTTTAGAGCTGTATGTATTCTACTGCTCATGTTATATTTGTGGATGTGACATTACATCTGTCTTTAAAGGGTAATACTAAAAATTGCCCTAAGGAGTGTAGTAAGCTGATGAAAAGTGTACAGTGGTTCATAAGATTTTAGACTTTGTAAAATGGAACATCATGTATTCTAAAGGCCACGCTGGTATCTTTGGGTCATGAATACTTGATAACTTTGAAGGTACAAGTTTAGAATTTATGTCTTTAGTTTGTAAACTGCCTGTTCACTATGACTCTATTCTTCCTTGTTAGCTTAAGTGGAATATAAAACTGATATACTATGGTTAGCTTCTGATGCTATAGTAAGTACTCAAAAAGAGATGGGCAAATCACTTACAGTTTATCCACTGGCAGAAAGGCAATGCATCACCCTAATGCCTAGAATGTGCCACTAGACAGTCTTTCTTTTATTTATACTGAACATTTATCTTCTCCTTTTCCATCTATCCTGGGAAACTCCAACCAATTTAAATACATTGAACACAAAAATAAAGCAACAATATTAAACATTATAAAAGCTGCAACAGCATTGCTTGTCCAGGAGCCAACAAAATATTCTTGGCTGTGCAGGTCATATTCAGTATGATAACGATTATGATTATCTTAAAAGATCACCTAAACAGTTCAGTTGTTTTAGCCCCTACATTTTTGTAATAAGAAGGAATGAACTCTGGCAGAATTCTGTGATCAGGGTGCCACTACCACCCTGATCTATAGCATGACAGAAACACAGAAACAGAGCGAGTCAGAAGGGGTCTCCCGGGTCATCTACTCTGACCCCTGTTGCAAGGATTCAAAGAAACTGAGCCTGGCATCTCCATTTCATCTTAAAATATGCTGGCTAGCAATGGTGAAAAGTATCCAGAAGAGCTGAAAACTTGCCTTGACGCTTCAATTCGGTACCAAAATCCATCATCAATGGTTAGATCTGGGAACTCAGCACGTCCCACACCAGATCCTACATCCCACAAGAAATCCACTTTGCCTTTACGCATTTCTATGGCCAAAAAGTCAGTCTGGAATCAAACAAAAACTCATTGGAGAGATAACAGGATCGATCATTTATGAGCAAAAGCATTAACAAAACTACAAGACAAGGGGCTCTTTTAGTAAAATACTAAAAATAAAACAAAGTGAGCAGAGGACACTGGCACATGAGTACTTGAGGTGAAAGAATAATCCTCCCAAATTCAGGCCTGTCAAGCTTCTCTTTTGAATATCTACTTCTGATTGACTGATTATATTTATATCCTACCTTTATCTTTGCAGGCAAATCAAGGTTACTTATATAATCGTCTTTTCATTTCACTCTCACACAACTCTGTGAGGCAGGTTAGGCTGAGAATTAGTGACTGGCCCAAAGTGAACTTTATGGCTATGAGGGGACTGGAACCAGATCTTCTGAATCCCAATCCAATACTCTGACAGCTAGGACACACTTATTATTATGTCTTATTTTTATGCATATCCCTTCTTGCTATTGGTACCAATCAATTATGATTTTACTATTGCCTTGTAATTATACCCTTCACTTGTTTATTTATATTTCACCTCATCTGCTACATAGCCGTCATGGCAGTGAAAAATAATTTAAAATTATAAAACCTGACAGCAACAAAAGCAAGAACATAAAAAATGAAGAAAAATCATCAAAACATTTAAATCTACAGCTGTTAAAAGACTAAGCTGCAAAGATGGAACTTTACTGCCTTTCTAAAGGTCAAGACAGTGGGAACCAGTTGCAATTCTTGAGGAAGGGCATTCCATAGATTGAGGTCAATGCTGGTGAAAGCCCCTTCAAATGGGTCTCTGAGCATAACAGGGCCTCTTTACAGATCTTAATTCTTCGGAGAATTCATAGCAAGAACAGAGGTTCCTTATATTTCCAGGCCTTAAGCCATTTAACAAACCTTGAATTGAGCCAAAGCAACAGGCAACTGGTACTGGGTCTTTCAGGACAGGTATAATATGGTCCCAATATCAGACATTAGTTAGTAGCCTAGCTGCCACATTTTGCAGTGGCTTTTGGACTTATTTCAGGAATAGATCCACCTAGAGTGCACTGCAATGCTCTAAACATGATGTGACCAAGATACAGATAACTGTTGACAAGCAGGACTACTTCAGAAAGAGTCACACCTGGAGCATGAAGCCTTAGCTGCTGAAATGCTCTCCTTGTCATCACCGCTACCTGAAGATTCAGAGTCAGGCACAGGAGGAAGATGCACTTCCAAGCAATAGGCCTGATTCTTCGAGGGAAGTGCACTCATTCCAGAACAGACTGAAATCAATCCCTAAGCATCTTGACCAGGGTTAGGGAACTTCAGCTTGTTCATCCTCATCCAACCCATTATAGAACCCAGGCAATGTTCAGGGTTTCAATAGCTTCCTTACTATTAGGTAACAATAGAACTGGGTGTCCTTCTCTGAGTGTCCTGGCCTTCTGAATTAGGTGGGTAGCCACTGGAAAGAGGGCTTTTCCCATATTATGCCCAAATCATGAAACTACTTCCTTATGCATGTACCTGGACCTTTCTCTGCTACTTTTGAGGTACCAGGCAAAGTCCATCCTTCTTTCTCAGACTTTAAATTTTTAATTTGTTGTTTAAGATATTCACTGCTGTAGTTCTTGTGTCGTTTTTATATTTGCTATTTCCATTTTGCTCTACTGAATTTATGTTAGCTGCTTTTTATGTTTGATTATGTTTTAATAATGTTTTCATCTTATTTTTTCTTAAAGTGATTTTATTTGCCCAGAAATCTGTATTAAAGGGTAAAATATAAATGAACAAAAAAACCAAAACTGATCCCGTGCATTTTATGCATTCTATACTCACAAAAAGGGATGAGTCCCCAAGCCTGTTTGCATGTTACAGAAAACTTTTTATTTATACTGGTAAACTAACAGTTTAAGCATATCAAAGAAGAAGATTCAGCTTGATTCTTCCATTTCACTAATTCTAAATTCTAAAATGTTAAAAGCATATTAATGTGGGGCCCTCCCTCATTTTGAGCAACATGTTTTCAATTCCTGAGCAGTTATTTAGAAATACTGCATTAGAAACACTGGACATTGCAGTGGTATGACTCCCATTGCAATGCTTGCCATTATTTTTCTTTATGACTTTTTATGAAACTGGAATGATGGGTCATTTAAAGTGTTGCATAGGAAGGCACTTTAAACCTTTCTGAACACTTCCCCTATTCTCGCTTTCATTTCAACTGGGTTCCCAATAATTTTTCTCCTGCTGCATAGAAATAGGATGACTAAACACTGCTTTTATAAATGCAAATGTTGTTTACCAGAATCCCAGAAAGTATGTGTGTATGCATGTATGTATTTGTAACACTTATATGCCACCCCATTCACAAAAGCCTCAGGGCGGCTTCCAATACAAATAAAGTACCAAAGACATTTGTCAGTTGTCTGCCAATTTCTAAAACCTGTAAACATTTTTAAAGGTGATGTTTATTTTTGTTTGCCTTTGTTGTGAACAACACTACTTAATTATCCTTAGTTTCCCAGGCATTATGCTGCCTCTTTAACAGGACTGGCACTGTTGAATTGGTGGACCTGTCTTCAGCTTTCTTCTCTTCCCCCACAACTTATGTTCCTTCCCTCCTGCTGGATAAACTGCAGCAGCAATTATAATCAAAGATGGCCAGGACTACTTCAGTACTCAATTTGTGGCCAAGCCATCATGGTCTATCTGTTCCATGACAGCTTCCTCTGAAGGAGGAGTGACTCTTCTGATCAGACTGCACTGATCAGACTGCTAAATTTTCACAAAAGAAAACAAATGCTGACTTACATATCGGTTACTTCCAAGATAGAAGAGCAAGTTGTCAGCAACTGTGGTCTTTACATTGAGAATGACTGTGTTGTAGCTTCCTTTTTTTATTTCTGGTCTGTATGTACGAATGCAGTTGCCTCCAGAAGCCACAGATACTTTAATCTTGAATAGAAAACAAAAGAAACCAGGAATTCAGTTTCTACCACTCATTATTGTCAATGCATCATTTATGTATTGCCCCACACCTGAATTAAACAGATGATGATGATGATGGTTTTACTATTTCAATTACCTTCTCATTTGAAATCTAAGCACATGGCAAGAATTGCAATTTAATTTCCAGAATACTGGGTTTGGGTTATGGGCTATTGGCAATCTTATCTAGCATTCTGAGACCCCATGAAGCAATTATTCAGCCATAAGGATTACTTGACTATGTGGTTCTCTACAGGGGTCAGCCTTTGACAACTCAGTTGCTGATTACAATCAGAAGTAAGTGGCTGATGAACTCACAAGGGTAACCAAGCACACAGCCTATGTGGTCCATGGGCTACCTTGTTTGGAATACTTTCTTCTCTGCTGGGTTATATTTATATCATGAATGCCTTTTGTGTAATTTGGTTCTGCTGTCAGTTGTTGCTAGTTATGTCTCAGAGGAACCCTTTTAACTCTTAAAACTAATTAGCTAATGCTCATTAAGAGTTCACTTCATGCTTACTGTAATATTACTGTCATTATGTAAGAAGGCTATGGCATTTCTGTGAATATAATAGAGGACCCAATAAAGTCTTTAGCCATTTGCTTCACTGTGCTTACAGAATCTTGTTATCAGAATAAAAAGAAAGTAAACAAATTCATTAGATTTTTCTAAGCTTAGGCTCTAAAATGAAAAGACATTTTGGTAAAAATGCAAGGACCATCTCTGTATCTGGAACAAACTGGGCAGGTGTGCTATCAGCTCCACATTGGAGACTTTTTTTTTTTTTTAAAGTGGACAATTCTAGGGTCACAAAAGGAACAGCAGTATCTGGGTATCCCCACAACTCCACATTTTCCACTTTAATTCTGATTGTATAAATCTGCGGTCCATAATTGAGTGGGTGTATACTACAACTCCAGCATGTCTCATGGGAGTCAGATACTGCTGGACTCTAACTTCCCCTATAGGAAATATTGTTGTTTCTCTACTGTTATCATAGGAGACAGGAGCTCCTTATTGCATGCATGGAACAGCTATAGGTTATTACCTTGGGTACCAAAGAAAGCAGTAGAATTCTAGAAATGTCCAACGCAGGATAAAAAGGATAGGATGTAGTATTTCATAACACGTTTATGACTTGCTAACTGGACTGTGTGAGAAGCAATGAAACTTACCTATGGCAATTTGTACCTATTAATTGGTTTTATCAGTGTGAGAAGGTGACAGATTCATGCTACACATCTCAGGACAATGAAAGATCAACATCAGTGTAAAAGCGGAAAATATTGGAATTTGCAGCATTTACAAATGTTGAAGCTTTTGTATCTATGTTAAAATATGTTGTAAATTATAAACTGGGCTACATCCAGTTTTAAAGAAACTGGGCTGCATCCAACTGTGTCATTCTGTTAGCACAAATGATGTGCTGATGGGCTTAGGTTTTGGGCTATGAGCAAAAGATGGTCTGAGCTAACCTGTTCCGCAATGTGTTGTACATAATCTTGTACAACTTGTTCTAGATTATAACCCTAGTGCAACCTCCTCTGCAGCTGCTTGCACAAGTGGTTGTACGAGCATAATTGTCAACAGCTTGCACAATGGAGCAATTCAGTGAAGCTCCATTAGTGTCATTTGAGATGGTAGAATGACTCAGTTGGATACTGCCCTAGCAACACACAAACTGAATCAAGGTTGTGACCAGCCAGCCCTGAAATATTTTAGTCATTAAAAATAGTTGCTTTCAGTAAAACTCCCCTCAGGTGAATTACTGAACTGCCTGCAATCCGTGGGCAGAAAGGTCTCCTCAGAAATGTGACTTATGGTAAGAAAATAGCTTCAAAATCTATGAATGAAAATTATTTCAGAGACTGGACTACAATGGTACAAAATAATCTTTTGTAATGTCTCTGTTTAAGTGACGTGTTATTTATAACATTGACACAGTGTTTTACCATTATTATTGTAGATACATTCCTTTTTGCATTTTTCGTACAGCCAGCATGAATTAAACAGGAGCTCAGTAAACATTCATCTGTAGGGATTTTCTTTACAGATTCTTACGGGTCATATGGCAAATAAGTTTAGCATTACCACTGATCCCTGAGTTTAAAATGTAATTACATTGGAAAGACAGATTCAGGCCTTAGTAATGAGGCTAGAAAATGATGCTCTTAACCCAAGGACACAAGGTGAAGAAAATCAAGAAAATGGGAAAGCAGTTCCATTTAATATTCTTGGTGATTCTGCAAAGCCATTGCAAATTTCCTGCTGGTAACAAAATGGATATATATGGTTTTGGAGTAATGGGGCCTTTAGCAAGAGAGAATGACTAATGCAAATGCTGAGTGATTAGTACATAGTTTGGATAGTATGTTTATTTGTTTATATTTATACACACATACCTATTCATATTTATAGGACAGAATGGTAACAGAACCCATAATTAGCACATCTGAAACAAGTGAAATGCTAGTCTTTGTAATGGAAAAGATTACTGTATCTTGCAAAAGGGACTTCTGCTCTGTCCTATCCTAGAATTTTAAGTTCTGCTCATTTCTGGCATTAATGTCAGAAGTGCTAATTCCTGTTGCATAAGCAATAGGTCCACTAGCACAATGGAAGAATAGGAATAAGTAGCAGTATTGGACATGGCTCATTCATATTGTCAATAAATATCAACTTGCTTAACTGATATCATTTCCAGGCCCCAACATCCTGGCATGCTCAAAGCAGAGAACAAGTATTTAGTCAAATATCTGTTTTAAGGAATCACACCACTTATGCTATGCTTGATGCACATCAAAAGATTCTCCATCAACATGATGGCTGTTAACCTGGTTGTTTTGCTATAAATTGGAGGCACAGTTGACTGCACAGAGCTATGTAAGCAGGAGATGACCCTCTCTTAATACTCAAGAAATTTCCATGTATGCAAAGGGGAATGTGCAGAATATGCCTTGAGAATCTGAAGGAACAGGGCCTGTTCTGCTAACTTGAAACCAAGGAGAATTGTTTACCCGAAATTGCCATTTTCAAGTGGTCATCTGTGCATTCACAATTACAGGTAAACAAATGCACTTTTTCTTTGTGGAACAACTGCACTTTTTCTTTTTCTGTGCATCACACATATGGACAAATAGCCAGTTTACCTTGAGAAGGACAAAGTGAAGGTGTTACTACTGGAGGACTGAGAAGAGGACTGCTCTGCCAAAGGAACAATCAGGCCTTGCATAGGTGTTCCTTGCTTGACCAATGTTAAAGACATGAACTACCTTGGACCCGAAGTCCCGAACATGCCGCACCCCATCCCAGGAGGGATGCGTCGGTGTACAGAGTCATCGTTGGCCGAGGTGGTCGAAATGGGGTGCCGATCGACAGGTTGACTGTGATGGTCCACCACGTTAAAGTGTGAAGGACTGCATGCAGGATCTGAATCTGCTTGGTGGCAGGGTCTTGTTGCGGTTGAAAAACAGCGTTGAAGAACAGTTGAAAGGGTCGCATACGTAACCTGGCATATGGGACAATGGCAATAGCAGCAGCCATATGCCCCAGTAGTCTCTGAACAGACAAGGCTGGAACCGTTCCGTGTAATCGAATCCGATGAATATGGCTGCATAAAGCATTCTGATGTTCTGGTGGGAGGAAAGCTTTTTCCCGTGTTTTCCCGTCGAGTCGTACTCCGATGAAATCGATGACCCGCGTGGGAATAAGGGTCGATTTGTCACGGTTAATGCAGAGGCCGAGAGCATCGAGCAAAGCGCAGGTCATTTGTATATCAGACAAGAGAGCTTGTTTGGATTGCGAGACGATCAGCCAGTCGTCTAAGTATGGGTAAACCTGTACTCTGTGAGTCCGCAAGTGTGCGCATACCGGTGCCATGCACTTTGTAAAGACTCGAGGGGCTGTGGCCAAGCCAAAGGGTAGGACATTAAACTTGAACAGGTCAGATCCGACAGTAAAACGTAGAAAGCGTCTATGTGAAGGATGTATGGAAATATGAAAATAAGCATCCTTCAAATCCAGTGAGGCGAGCCAATCCTCTCTTTTCAATAACGGAAGAATGTTCTGTAAAGTGGTCACCCGGAACTTCCTTGGTTTGATGTACTTCTTAAGAGTTCATAAGTCCAGGATCGGACAGAGACCACCGTCCCTTTTTGGGACCGTAAAATATCTAGAATAGAATCCATGCACTCCTTCCGAGCAGGACAATTTTCAAATCGCTCCCTTGAGAAGTAGCTGTGAGACTTCATCGTGTAGCACCGATAAAGAAGGTGTGAAGCCAATCGAGCTCGAAGGAGGGATAACATTGAATTCTATCCTATATCCAAACGAGATGATAGATAACACCCACCTATCAAATGTAATGGACTCCCAAATGGGGAGTCGGCCCTGGAGCCCGTCCCCAAAAGGGAGAAGGGAAGGTGGTGTTGGGATAGAGAGGATGGTTCGTGCAAGCCGTCAACGTGGCCGTTTATCGGTATCGAATTGCCTACGGCCTTGGGAAAAATGCTGTTGTGCTTGCTGCCTCCAACGCTGCCGTTGTTGGTATTTTTGGGTTTGAGGGTAGTTTTGCTGGCGCGGATAATATGGTTGATGCCGGTGGGATGACTGGGGCCACTGCCACTTACGTTTTTGCGGGAGCTCCATGCGGCGTGCGGTTAGGCGTGATTCATGAATCGCCTTTAATTTTTGGTCAGTCTTCTGGTGGAACAGACCGGTACCATCAAAGGCATTTCCTTGATTCTGCGCTTCATCTCATCGGGGAAATTACAATTGCGGAGCCATGCATATCGGCGTAGCGAGATGCTGTTGACGAGGGCCCTTGAATTGGTGTCTACATGGTGACGAGCGGTAGACAGCTGTTGTACCGCCACCTGCATCGCCTCCTTAATAAAAACCCTGGCAAGGTCCGCTTGGTGGTCCGGAAGGGAGGAAGCGACGTTATCCAGCTTCTGCATGATAAAGTAGTGGTAACGTGCCAGTGTCGCTTCGTAGTTCAATATGCGCACGCCGAGTCCAGAGGCGTGCAAGCATATAGATTTTCCTCCCTTCCTTGTCCCGAGGAGTGGTATGTCCCTGGACTCCCTGCCCTGGGAGGATTCAACCACAAGAGAGTTTGGTTTTGGGTGATGGAGCAGGAAGGGAATGTCATCGTCCTGAACTCTATACATAGCCTCATATCTGCGGGAGGTCGCTTGTGGTTGGGCCGGTTGGTTCCAGGGTTGGACCATAGCCTGGCGCAGTGTAGTTATAAGCGGCAGAGCTATGGATGCGGACTGCTCTCCCCAAACGACATCATAGAAGTGATCTGTCGAAGGGCCTGGCTGTTGATGGGCTTTGATTTCAAGCGAACAAACCAAGTGGGACATGAGCTCTGTGAACGAGACATGAGGTTCGTCAGGTGAAACAGACCCTTGATATGCGACAGCCACATCAGGGGATGTGGAGTCGACCTCCGAGTCCTCGGAGTCTTCCACATAGTGCGGCCGGTTGTCGTTTGAGGAGGAGGAGGTTTCAGGGGAGGCTGGGCGCCTCATCTCTGTACGACTGGAGGTGGATGGCACATCCCTCAGGACCGATGGTGATCTCTGCTCACGAGGGAAATAGGGATATGGCTGGTACCCACCCCAGCCAGGGGGAGCACCATATCCCGGAATCAACCAACTTTCATCTCGACGCTTGGATAAATGGCTGCGACCTCTAGGAGGTAATGGTGAGGCCACATGAGATTCAGTCGGTGGCATGGGTGTTGGTGAGCGTTCCCTTGGTGGGAAATCTCTGATTTCGCCATCAGAGATGGACTCCCGAAGTGGCTCCTCCTGTTGCTGGGAAGGCACGCTCTCAGGCCGAGTGGTTGGCCTGGGGGATCCCGGTGGTGTCACCTGCATAACGAGTTGCAGAGCCAGTCCCGAGGGGGTCGGTACCGTGGTGGCCATCGGTACTGAGAAGCCCGATGAACCTGAGCCTCATTGCTTTGGGTGGTCAGGTTTCTTGCTCTTGCGAGCAGGCTTATCCACCTTTTCCTTCCTCAACTTCTTATGGGTGGAAGTTTTATCCAGACTGGTATGCTTGCGCTTCTCCCGTTTCTTAGTCAGGGGAGAAGGCAGCGACTGAGCCCCCATAGAAGCGGCGCCCTCGTCTGAAGGACGCTGAGGAGGGTTGGCAGAGGTCGAGGAAGGACACTTCGCCGGAGCGCTCACAGTGGAGGAGAAGCGCTGAGGAGGCGTGGACGAAGAGGAAGCAGGCCGTAGGAGCAGTTGGTCGGACTGCAGTAATGCCTGATCCCATAGGAGCTTTCTGAGACGATTCTCCCTATTTTTCCGTGCCTGCTTGGTAAACGCCAAGCAATGACCGCACTTGTCGGTCCTATGCCCTCGTCGAGGCAGAGGAGGCATAGATCATGTGGATTGGCCGGCGACATTTTATATCCACATTCAATACATTTGCGGAATGCCGCCCGCTGCGCCATCGTGGAAAAATGAAGAAAAGAGGACAGTATAGAGGGTAATATATATATATATATATATATATATATATATATATATATATATTTATAGAGAGAGAAAGAATTCAAGAAGAAAACGGACAGAATCAGGGAGAACAAACTTGGAGTAAGAGAAGTTTAAACTTTTTGAGAAAAAACAATGAAGAGGCACAGATCTATAGCGAGCGACGAACAGGCACGAGGCACAGTGAACGGCAGTCGCAAAGACTGAGCAAAATGGCGGACACTCCGCTCTATTTATACCATGAAGGGGGAGGGGAGCGGAGTTTTCCCGCCAAAAACCATTAGCTTTCTAATCTTCCGGCCTAGGCACTGCGCAGGCGCAGCAACCCATATGTGTGATGCACAGAGGCCACGACGAAGAACTGGAATGTCTCAACTCAGATTTGGAATCATTAAAAATGCCTATAGCTGTGGTCTGTGGCGACATGGAAGTAGGAATCTTTCAGTTCAATCAAGGTAAAACAGTCTCCTTGCAGGAGCAGTAAAATGTTCTGTAGGATGATCATTCTGAACTTCCTTATTATGATAAACCGATTGAGGCCTCTGAGGTCTAGGACTGGTCTGAGTCCCCAGTCCTACTTCAATATCATGAAGTACTGACAGTAGGAACCTTAGGTGAGGTCAGAATGACAGAGCAGTAGCATGTCCCTATGGCTCCTTTGGACAGCAGTGAATCAACTTCTGACATTAGTGTCGGGGACCAGGTCTTTATGGTATTAAGTGGCAGGAAAGCATTGAACTCAATCCAGTACCCTCTCTCCAGAATGGCCAAGACTTGGGAATTGGATGGTATTACTTCCCATGTGGGGAGGAATTGGAGAGATGTCTGTCAAAGTTGGTGGGGAGGTTGTGAGGGGTGTTGGCGGGAGCAGTTGGTGGTGGCATTTGTCTCCTTTACGGTGTTTGTGCATGTGTCTGAAATGGGCAGTTGCATCACACCTTCTGAGATGGGAAGTCAGCTGGAGTCTAGGAGAGTACGTGGTGTAGGTCCACTGTTGCTGGAGTAATGGATCCCAAAATCGCTTACATTGCTTGGTCATTGGCTGGTGGAAGCCCATGCAATATGCTATTGACCTGGCCTTCTGCGGGGATTCCATTTGCTGTTGTCTATTTGCATGCTGAAAAGGCCCACAAAGTGGGGGTCTTTAATGCAGGAGCAGGTCTCTTGAGGAAGTCCCATGGAGTGCAACCACAGCCCCTATCATGGCCTTGGAGTTGCAGCCCATTTAATGCCATGCTGCAGCCATCTGCTGGCAGGTGAGCTTGGAGAACCTCCATTTTGTATAACTGAACCAGTTCTCTATAACCATTGGACATGTGGCCCCAGTCTTGCTCCATAGGAACAACTGGGCCATGGCGGCTTCATAGTTAGAGTCCCTGAGTCCAAGTGTGGATGTTGTGTAGACTTGCTGTGCGATCCTGTCCAGGTTATAGTCCTCCTTGTCTACTAACTCCATGTTTTCCTTCTGAAAGCAGCCCTGTGCAGACTCCAGAATGATCAAGCTTGGCTTGGGGTGCTGGAAGAGGAAGGTACTTCTCCAGCAAGCTGTACATGACCTCAATTCTTTTAGATGTGGAATGAGATGCAGAGGGGGCCTTCCATGTCTGCCGTACCACCTGTAGCAGCACAAGATCACCAATTGCATTGAATCCATGACCTAGTCCTGTTGCTGCTCCATCTGAAGCCTGAGGGAGATTGCCCCTCAAGGGATAAGCCAGGTCCTGTGAAGTGATGTGGAGTCTCTTGGGGATGGCGATTAGTTAGAGGCTTGATTCTGGTCAATGAGGGGAGATCTTTCCAGTGTCCTTCCACTTCTGAGAGTGGTATCGGTCTTGGGGAGGCGTGAGTGTGTGGTCTTGGTATGGAACTATCTTCCAAAGATGGTGGTGTTGGCAAGCCTTGGTCATATACCCTCAGTGTTGAGCCAATCGCCATAGGTGGTATTGTTGGTTCCTGCGAAGAGTGAGTAAATTGTTTTGATGTCAATGCCTGGAACTGTGGTTGGAGTGGGGGCCTGAGAGGGTTGTCTCTTGGTTCCCCCTTGGGTACCAGCATGTATGGGCTGGTTCTTCTCTTGTTATTGAAGATCGTAAACATTCTAAGGTTGGTGCTGAGTAATCGAGGGCTAACAGAGGCTCTTGCAACATCTTTGTTTTTCCTTAGTAACAGTGACCATCTTTTTGGTGCATTTTGTTATTTCCTGGCCACAGGTTCATGGGACAAGCAGCCTGCTCTGAGAGACACTGGCTTGACCTGGGCTGCCATTGTAGCTGATGGAGGCCTAGTTAGTGTTGCTGCAGCCTGGATAGATGGATGCTCTTTTCCTTTTTGCCTTGTGAATTGCTAGCCATTTTTCCAGAGATCAGCCTTCAGTTGTTCCACACTATGTTTGTGGGTCTATTTTGTGAAGTCCTGGCAGTGTGGGGAGGCCTTGACAATGTGTCCTTTGTCCAGGCAGGGAAGCAGGTGCAGTGACCCTCCATGGGCAAGGACAGTCCGCTACTGCAGTAATTGCATTTTTTAAATGGTGTCATCAAAGCCATCGTGGTAGATGGGGAGGTGGAAGAAATATAGACAAAGACTGGCTTGGCGGGGACATTACAAAGTGGGAGAGAAAAGGGGGATAAGTATGAGGAGAGACAAGTGGTAGGAAACAATGCTGGAAATAGGTTGAGGAAAGACGTACTTCCTGATTGAGGCACAATGGCAGTCTAAAAGGAACTGAGGGAATGGGCAGGAACCCCTCCCACATAATCCTGGAAAAGGAAGGTAGGGGCTCCTGCCTAGCTGGATGTTTTGCTATAGAATCCTCCTGACAATGGGTTCCATGAAGGCACAGAGCCTCTGTGTGTGATGCACAGGGACCACAAAAAAGAACTTTAAACTGTTGACCATTGGTACTCAACTGCTGATTACTACTAGATATCACACATTGCCAAAATATGATTTGATAGACTAATATTTGATTGCAAGAGCCAACTGAAAAAATAACTATTTGCTTATGTGATCAATTTGTCATAGTAACTGAATGTGAATGACCATGATAGAGTGGTGCTCCAAAGAAGGAAAGTCAAATAGCGACCTTTAATTGGATGATGGCAAGGCACATACCTTCATGTCTTTGTTTTCAGAATGACTTGGGGAATGGATCCCATTCTGCTGTCAGTAATTCTTCAGTTACAACTTCCAAGTAAACTAATCAGGTGAACATGTAATCCAAGTCCACCCAGCTCTCTTGGAATCAGTTATTGACATTGTTTTCCTCTACTTACTCCTCCTGAGATATCCTTATGGAGGAAGTAAAGTAGCTATCTAGTTTAAGCTATTAAGAAAGAAAGGCTTACAGAATTGGCTTGCTTCCTGGCTTGATTTATCAGGTCCTTAATGTGAGAAATGTTTTTCCCCAGGTTATCTTGAAGTTCTTTGATTGGTTTCAGTTTATCCATCAACCGATCTGCTTCTTTTTCCAGATTGTTAACAGTATCATCTGCATCAGCAACTTTATATGAAAAAATAAAATAAGAGATTAAACAGGGAAAGCAAGTACCATTATGAAAACGGAGGACATTCTTGCCCACTGCTTTATTAACACAGGAATGAGTGTCATCCTTCTCCTCAGGGTATGCAGCAAAGCTATTTTAAATAACAGTTCCCATTGTTATTGTTAAGTGCCATAAAATCATCCCAGGCTTACGCAACCCTATAAATGAAAGTCCTCCAAAATATCCTATTCATGACAGCCCTGCTCAGTTCCTTCAATTCAGGTATGTTGCTTCCCTAATGGAGGCAATTCATCTCATATTTGGTCTTCATTTTCTTCCTTGCCTTTGTCTTTACCTACATGATTGTTTTCTCCAGGGAATTTTGCCTTCTCATTGATGTTCCCATAGTAAGACAGGCTTTGTCATTTTTGCTTCTAAGGAAAGAAGTTCCTTTAATGCCTCTCAGTTCCCATTACTGCATTTTAGTCTTAAACTCTAGTCTACAATACAAAACATCTTGATTTCCTATTGTGGTTTTGAATCTATTATTAAATCATAGCTTCTTGATTCAGATTTATCAAGAAATTGCTTTTACTTTAAACCCAATGTTGAAGTAAACATGTGAGGAGTGAAGGAAGAGAACAAGACAAGACACTCATTGCCAGATTAATAAATCACTGCTTATTAAAACTGGGGCTTCTATGTCCAAACTGGCCTTCTATTAATAGGTAATTCTTATGTTTAAATGATGTAATATAATTTCAGCAATAATTTTAGAGCATAGGTCCTCAAACTACGGCCTGGGGGCAGATCCAGCCTGCCATGCCCATTTATCTGGCCTGCCAAGCCCATTTGGACCCACTGCTGTCCACCTCACCCCACGTGCAGGAAGGCAGCAGTTTGCTCACTTGGAGAAAACAATCTCCAAGCAAGCGAGCCACTGCCTCAGGCGCCCGCCTTGCGGTGTGTGCCCGCCCCCACCTCGCCTCGCCTCGTGCCAGGTCCCCACCTCAGCACGCACACCTGCACATGCCGCCCCCACCCCTGCGCACCACTGGCACCTCCTTTCTGGCCCAGACCCAGCACCGGCACCTTTCAACTAGCCCTTGGTTAAAAAGTCTGAGGACCCCTGTTCTAGTGCTTTCAAGTTGAAAGGCATAATAGAAGGAAAGAAGTAAACTTTAAAAGAATGCCATATGTCTGAGGTTGTAGCTTTGTTGGAGTTATTAAGGAAAGGCCAAGGGTAGAAAACAGATGTCAGAATATGGAGCATCAGTGGTGAGGAGTTGATTTCTTATACTTCTATTGAAAAAATGGATTAAAATAGCATTTTATTAGTAAACTAGCTAGCACTGATTAGTTGTGCAATCTCAGATTAGAAAAAAGGGCCTCTGATTTAAAAAAATATTCCAGATCTCAGGATAACTTGGATTACTTGTCAAAGACATTGCAGCCAGTGTATCAATACATTTTTTTTAATATTCATACTATTTATACTAATTAGCAAGTCCAAAAATTTTGTATGTCACACTTGGTTTTTCAGTGTCCTTCAACATTACGAAAACTAAATGAAATGACATTTGAAATTTCAGGTTGTGGTTCTTCATGAACAACATAAAGCAATACTTATTGATAGCCGTCCTCATGCATAACATACCGCTGGCCACATTTGCAAAAATGTGGTGATTTCTGTATGCATTTCCACACAGAGCTCTACAAATGTAGAATCCATGCCCATGGTGAGGTTAGCAGTTCCTTCTGTATGTAAAGCATCATTCAAGTGTGTAAAATATGCATGGAGCTTATAAGTATTGGATTGCTGGAAAGATCCAGATATCTTTGGAATCTCATAAACTGGACTTGATTACAACAAATAGTTATCACCTGTTGTTGTTGCCAGTATCTGATATTTGATTCAGAGCTACATATGAAATCTTCAATTGGTTATCCCAGACACTGATAAATGTATCTTACATGAACTTGTCTTATGCTCTTAAAATGCCACAGAGCATGATCCTCATTTCTACAAAGGAGCAGAATTCATTAAGCATTGTTTCATGCAACACCTTATTGTGTCTGTCCTGAACCTACTGCCAACCAATTTCAGTGGAAAGTGCTTTGTTCTGGCATTATGTTGCAGACAAAGAGACAGAGAGATCACATTCCCCTGCCAACATTTTAGATTATTAAGCAAAGTGAACGTATCATTGTTAACAGGCCACCAGTTATTTGGTACTGTGAGCATAATTTTCATTTCCTTTTGTTGTGACATTAAATTAAATCTGCATCTCAAGTCCACGAAGAGGTAAAAAACCAAGTTATTGCTTGGCACCTCTCCTTATTCAATGTAGAACTTGCTGTACCTCTGCACATTCATCTTTAAGATGTACTACAGAACCAGTAAAAAAGGACAGAAGTAACAAGTCTTCACCACATTGCGGAATATAGATGCAGATCTGACACGCTGGAACACGCAGAGCATCTGAAGGAAAGGTGCAGCGTCCAAGAGCCTCAATTCTCTCTGACTTTTTGATAAGAGAACAACTCGTATCGTCTGTCATTCTTTATATAGTTTCTCTCATGGAGCATTTGTGCATGAGTATGCACACACAGCATCAGGAGTGGCCCTGAGCTGTGCTGCGTCCCTTTCACATGATATAGGCTGCTGGGATAAAAGGCAATGGTTGTGTCATTGGGGGAACTTTGACTAGACTAAAATAGTTAGCTCTTCTAATGCACTGCCTTGCATTGATACCATGCAAATATTTTTGAAAAAATGAATGAAGCATGGAGACATACAGAAGGGAGAGAAAGCTTAGAAAGCGATAAAATTAAAACCATATACGTACTGATTCCTGTAGACAAGTTTTGAAGATTTTTTTTTAAAAGAAGAGAAAAAAAACCTTGTAAGATGGGAAGTTTGAAAGGAAATCACCCCACAAATAAAAAGAATTACTGAACAAAACTTTGTTGCTTAGTGTCTAAAAATCTGGTTATTTATTGTTGAACTCCAATAAACTGGAGTTTATTGTCTTGCTTGTTTGGGATAAGTGGCATATTTTTTTGGCACTTACATAGAATCAAGTGCACATATACTTCCACTGAAATAAGATAACTGGGATTGCAATCCTATGCCCAGTTTCCTAGAAGTATGCCTCATTGAACTCAATTGGACTTATACTGGATATATAGAATTGCACTGTAAGATTCCATCTGTTTAGCACAGTTAGTGTATGTAAATTTTGGTTTTTGAGCAAGAGAATCCCTGCTAGTTTTTTAAAAAGTTGTTGTTGTTAAAGTTTATAGCCCATCCTTACTGTACAGGGCATTACAAACCAACAGAACAATATAAAGCAACTTAAAGACATCATTGAAAGCTAAATGTGCACTATAATCTAAAACACTAATTCAATTTACAGCTTCCTTAAAGGGGGAAAACAAACCAATTCCATATCTGTCACCCGCTTAAGGACCTGGATAAAGATCTCCGGCTGTAACAGTTCAGTACAGATGCAACGCTTACCAGCAACATAAAAGTTGATTCCTCCCATTTCCTCTTACTTCCCTTCCAGTTTAAATCCTCCCTTTGGTTGCTTTTAGTCAGCTGCTTATGCTTGTTCAGAATTGAATGCTCAACTCTGGCTTAAGCAGAGTTTAATAAGCTAACTGGGGCAGATATAATGGTTAACAGTAGGTAGTGCTGAAAAGAGAGGGGAATTTGAGAGGAGAAGCAGAAACAAGTGGGGTCGATTGCATGAGTGTGAGCAGCATTTGTTACTCCAGTTCAAAGATCCAGTGCTGCCTCCAATTGAAAACCACAGTCCTGAGAAGTGTGCACAACTTCATGTGTCTTCAAGAATAGGTTTTAGAGCAGGAGTATCAGACCTCGGGAGAGCAGGATCTGCTTTGTCTTTTATTAGAACCCTGAGATCCAAGAACCTGGGCCAGATGCACAACAGTGCCTGAGGCAGTCACTCGTACACTATAACTTAAGGAGCAGAGTGCTTTGGAGTCCATGCCCAGTCCAGGAATTTGTGATCAGTACCTGAACCAAGCTCACCAGTCCTTTACTACAAAAAACAATCCAAAACCAGAAGACAGAAAGACACTATTAGTTTCTCATCAGGCTTCATTTTCGGAAACCAAATTTAAGTGAGTTTGTGGGAGCTTTTAAATGGTTTCTACTGGTAAACAGTTGGGAGCCAGAAATCCTTGTGGATCTCCTGCAAAACACACAGAGATCTAACAGCAGCTTGCAATCCCATCAGCAAAAAATATCAGCTTACAGAGTGGAACACTGGTAAAACTCAATTTTCAGAGTTTTAAACATTTGTTTAAGGAAGAACATTCTGATTTTTGGAGTTGAAAATTAAAATCCACAAGTATTTCTAATATAGCAAAGACTTTTGATGAAAATAACAATGTTACTTCTTTGTTTAATAATGCACTGATATGTGTTGCTACTGTGCCCTTTCTATTTTGGCTTTACAGGTCTTTCCTCCCCTTTAACCCACCTTGTTTCATTACTAGCAATTTTTTCTTTTAGTTTTCACATTCAACTACACCACCCAGGCAGACATCCAAATTCCACAAAAGAGTAAAAATGTCACTTGTGCAAATTTGCATAATATAAGCAACATTGGAACTTCCAAACATGAACTCAATTTGAGAAGAAAACGTGAGGAAAAGAAATCACAACTTATCTATATAATATTTCAGAAGCACGAGAAAAGAATTTCAATGTGTTGATATAATATTCCAGACAGTTTGTCATTTTAACACTTCCAAGAGTTTTCCCCACTGCGTATAAGTGCCTTTCAATGGAAATGGATGTTCATTGGCTGTGTCACTGTGACGCTAAAGGTCATACGGCTGTGCTCGCTCAATTCTGCCTCCATCCAGCATAGTGCCATTTGGTGAAGAGATCAGCATAAAATATGCTCTTAACATGGCTGTATTACCCACGAGACTATAATACATCTTCCACAAACCAAAGAAAGGCTTATTCAACTCTTCTCTCATGCTTTCCCCTTTAAAGGTTAGCTCCCAGACCTAGCTGGCATGTTCACATAGTACAAAAGTCCCCATTATTTCTGCTGTCCTAGGAACACTCTTTGAAGGACTTTTTTCATTATTAACATTTGGAACTAAAATTGCTCATATTCACAGGCATGTCTCAAGGACCCTGGGAATTGATTCTTGAAAACATACGCCAATTATTTGCTGTTTGAACAACATGGAAAAACCAGGTGAAGAAGTATATTTGGAATACTGGGAGGGCAGTCACATTACGAAATACAGAACAACACCACACACATTTGCTAGACCACAGGGAGGCCAGTCTTTTCATTTCAGAAGATGATGTGTTTGAAGAAACAATAGAGATATGAAAAATAAAGTCTTACTGTTTTTGCTGGGATCTTTCACCGCAGCATTTGTTTTGGCCACATCATCAGCAAGTCTTCTGTAGTTGTCTTTTAAACCAAGAAGATTCTTGTTGAGATCTCTAATTCTATCCAGTACCTTATTTGCAGTATCATTAGCTTGCTGGGCTTTGTCTTTGACTGCTTGTACCTTGGCTGCTGTATCTGTAAGCAGGAAGGAAGAAAATGAGAATGGCAGAGACCTGCCACATATTGTAAGCACAGACGCCCGTCTTGGTGAGAATCTGCCACGTCTCTTTCTGTTAACAGTACTCTGCTGTGCACAAAGCCCTTCAGTTTTGAAAAGATACATCTTGGTGTTGAAGAAGAGCAAAATCATTGATTAGATAGGGAAATCTATAAAAATAGATATGTTCCTAATTCGAGAGAAGACCATGTATTAGTCAGAAACTGATATAGCTTGCTTGTCCTATGGAGAACCAAAACTGATCAGTGAGTTCTCAAAACGTGGCAGTGAGATTTCAATAGTAAGTGTGACTACCACATAATGCTTGCTTTGGCCTGGATAAATATTTCATGAAAGAAAAACTGTCAGTAAGTAGAGTCTTCTGCTATCAGTTCTGCGAAAATGGAAGTATAGTAATGTATATTAATTGAACTGGCAAGACATTTTCTGTATTATGTGTGAAATTCAAATACCCATATTCTAAACCTTTGGGTGTATTGTTTTCAAGGGAGTCAGCTTCTGGCATGGTTTCATGTTTGTTACATCCTTCTTCCCCCACAAAACCAAAGCCATCCTATCACCTGCACTGGCAAAGGGAAGAGAACAGATGCTTGTGAACGAGTTTAATTAGATCACAACTTTGTTGAGTCAAACATGTCTGTGATCCAGTATAACTTGGCACAGTGAAGAGTTCATGCCTTATGCAACTCAGTCCATCTCTCCTCCCTACTGTACCACGGAGAATTGTTCTCTCCAGTAGGAAGTATGGCAACATACCTATCATGTCATGCCAGCTTGCCCCATATGGACAGAATACTGGCAGCAGAGCTTGGCTTCGATTTAAATCCATTGGATGTGAAGCGTCTCAGTCAATTTCAGTCCCTTTTGCATACATGTCTGTGATATTTCTGTGAAAACAATGGGTTTTACCTAACTAGATCTTTTCCTTTCTGTATTTTCGCTCTGGCCTCACTTCAAGATTGCTACACTAAACACAAGTTAAAGTACTTTGGGGAAATGAGCTAACGAAATGATGAATTGGCTGGTGGCATGCTGTATTTCATTCCTTAAAAAAAGAAAACTTCCAAAACTGGCCTGCTAAGAATGACAAAAGAGTGACAGCTCCTGTGAAGCCAGGGAAAAATGTATGCCAAGCACTTCTTCTTCTGTGGTACACAGCTCGCCAGCATGCTCAAGAAGCTAAAAAAGCCCAGGAACTTGCAGGATGGAGAAAAATATGCATAATATATACACACATTTTTCAAAAACTGAAATATAAAACTCAGAAATGTTTTTTTTAGCCAAGGATCTTAGTGTATTGCCATTTCTTCTCATGGCTGAGTTCTGATTATGGAAGGAAGTTTCACCTTCTGGTGATGCTTCAGGTGCACAACCCAGTGTAGGGGGATAGTGTGTGTGCTTGCATTACCAATACAATTTTCTGACTTCTGATGCTGTGCTATAAGGATGGAGAGTACGAGTACCACACTATAGCGTGGAAAGACAGAGAGTCACTCAGTGGCTTCCTCCAACCACAATGAAGGCAAGCTTGCTCTCCTTGCCTTCCAAGCTTATTGCTACATGGAGTACTGTACATAGCAACATGGTGTTGTCTCACTTGCTGCATCAGATGTGGGGAACATGTGATCCTCCAGGTAGGGACAGACTGCAATTCTGAAAAAAGCCAGTGGTACAGAATGGTCGGAGTTGTAGTCCAGCAACCTCTAAAGGGCCACACATTCCTTCTCCCTGAACTATATAATCTGTATTTAACTAGATTCTTATTGTGGGGAAAACAGGGAACAGAGAAGATGGGAAATACTTGGCAGTATCCAAAGCTGCACTAGAGCTGCTGGGATTCACTTTTGGCGCAATGGAAAGCTAGCAGATGCTGATACAAATGGAAACAAGTGGAGATGACAAGTCAGTAGAGCTTTCAGAAGGGAGCTCTGATGACTTGTCCCATTCTGGAGAGAAGCATTTCTGCTTGTTTCTATGGCTGCTTTAGTAAATGCTAGGTTTCTGTTGCATTTGCAATGACTCTCACTGGTGCAATAGGAGCAGAAGGAGTGCAGCGCAATACTGAATATTGTTCACTGTAGTAACTGCATGCATCCTATGGCAGGGGGAATAAGAATGTTGGGTTGGATTTAGGAGGCAGTCTGCGCCTCAAATTTTCATTGATAATAGATTGGCACAGTCCTACTTACCATTAGGAATTGCTGACAGTTTTCCCAGGGTGTCATTCAAAGTTCGCAGGAGATCAGAGTTCTTTTCCTCTGCATCTTGCAACCTATTCTGCATTCCTTTAAGATTACCAGCATTTTCTGCAAGAGTGCATAAACCAAAAATTTGACTTAGTTTTCTAAATCTTGGTGCACTTTGTATTAACGGTAGTGAATAAATAGTGAGCTAAATTGTTTTCTAGTGCTATCTCTAAGTAACTTAACACTATGTCATAGCAGTGCATGTGTGTTGCATGGTTTACATATTTGTTTCCCATTAATATATTCTGCTCCTCCCTGATTACCTTATATGTACAGAGGAGTTATTCTGTTTTCTCTTCACAGCAACTCCCTGATTGCACTTAGGTTAATGACTGACTGAAGGTATCCAATGAAATGAAAAAGATTTTAAAGATTTTAAAGCCATTCTGTATCTACAGCAGTATATCTTGATCAATTAATTTGATCAAGATTATTACTGGGTCAAGCAATAAGCTAACCCTGAAGATATTTAGATCCTACAGAATGTAAATGCTAACTTTTCCAACTCTCCAGCTACCATCAAACTATGTGTTTGAAGGTAGTAGGAACATTGTTATATTCCTTGTGGATGCTGTGGTGTGGGAGCAGGTAGATCCTGACAGGTAAGAGTGGAAAGGCCTCTGTGGATGGATTTTATTTTTATTGAGTCTATTTTATTGCTATATATTGTTGTGTTTATTTGCTGCATAACCATATGGATTCTAAAGTGTTATACTATTATATTTTGTCTTGTTGTAAACTGTTCTGAGAGCTTTGATAGCTATGAACGGTATACAAAAGCAGTAAGTAAGTAAATAAATAAATAAATGAACAGTAGCAGAAAAGAAATATCAACCATACCTCCTGACATTTCCGTTAAGGATTTCTATAAAGTTTAATACCTTGGTTTTCTTATACTGGTACTATACAATACCTGGTATTTACTGAATTTTTAATTAGAAAAAAGATTATCTTTATGTAGAAAATTCCCAAGGGTTTGATATAAAATTGCACAAAGAGAAGACTTACTGAAAAACTAGGAGATAATAGTTAAGTGGAACAAAGACCTGGGGGATTTTCTTAACATTATCTAACCTGATCAATAGATAACATTTCCTTGTGGCAACCACAGAATTTCTTATTCTTGAACCAGTGTTTTTTCCTTTGTGTGTGTGTGTGTAAATAAAGAGGATCAATAAGGTCAGATCAGTGTCACAAAGAGAGTGCTTTGCTTACCATATTCCCATTACATTTAGTTGATGCAAGGCAGCTGCCCAAGATTTAAGGCCCATTGAAAGGCCATGAAATCATGTTAACTCTAGCATGATCAATAATAAACGCAACACAATTCTCTCTCTCTCTCTTTCTCTCTCTCTCTCTCTCACACACACGCACACACCCACACCTCTGTCAAATACACAAACATGCTTTAGGGAAAAACTCATTTGTAAATGAAATAATAGACTAACATCCACATAAACCAACAAAAATGCTACATATCATAAGGAAAGTAATTGAATGCTCAATATGCTACTGAAGGGACATAATTCAATATTCTTTGTAAAGTAGTTTGCATGACAGCAGTATTTTTGTAGAATGTCATCTTTCTTAAAAATTATTCTTTCTAGACTGCTAAAAGATACATTACAACTTAGATTGTGGATATTTGCAAATACGTATGTCAAGAAGTCAGGACTGTAGTTTGGCAAAGAAAATGCTGATTAGTGCTGAAGCATAATTTCAGAAACATTTTTCATTATTTATTCACTCCAGTGTGGGATGTCATAGTGCTGTAGAATGGGGGGTGGGGGAAAGAAATTCCTAGCAATCTGGCATGTTCCTCTTGGAAACAAAGGGACTGAGCTGATGGCAGAATCTGGGAAATGGACCATAAATCACACATATATCACTTTGCTGTAGCTGACAACTTACAGAGCATCTGAACATTTCAGCATTAGCTATATTGTGTAGTATCCAGTGATGGTTTTGCACTGAAGCAAGGTGACTGCCCCAGTTTTGGTGCCCCCTGCTACCACGGCAGCATTCTATGCCATATCCCATAATGATCTTGAGGGAAGCCCAAACCTCAAAAGCAGCTTCCATCAGTCCAGAGGGCTGCAGTGGATAGCGAGTGATTGCTGAAGACCACTCACTATCACTGTTAGCACAAAGCTACCACTGCACTCAAAGCAGTGTGTTTCCAAATGCACGCCAGGCAGATGGATCAAGGCATGGAGACACAAAAATGCCAAGTGAATGCATCTGTAATGAGAGTCTGGAAAGGTTAACCTTTGCCTCTGACCGAAGAATATTAACAAAGACATTTCTTAAATAAACAGCTATTCTTCCAAAATGTTGCTAATCTGATGATCTGTTTTAAAATACTGGTTTCTTAATATTGCTTCAAGATCTCCTGGGTATTTTTTGAAATGCAAAGCATATATATTACGCTTTTTAAAATAGCGGCTATATAATAGGTACCCTTCAGGTGGTGGTTTTAGTAGTTTTGCAGCCCAATACCTCTTATACTGACTGCTTCTCTCCTGGGCAACTTGCCTAAATTATAACAATTATTCCATTCCTACATTTCAGACTCATCCTGCTTTGAAACCTGTTTCTAGCTTTGTAACTATTGGATGAGGCTATTTTTATGGCTTTTAATAAGTTTAATCTCTGTGGATCTTTTAAGTGCCAATATTCAAACACCATCTGTTTAATATTTTTCCTATTTAATGCATTTTAATTGTTTTCTCAATATTAACAGAAAAAAAAGAAAAATAAATTTCCTGAGGGAGTCTCATGCAGAATGGAACATGGAGTTCCAAAAAATCACCATTAATATTTAAAGAAACTGCACTGTTCTACTGGTGACAAATGTTCTGAAAGATCATATTTTGGAGTCACCTAGGGTGAAATTAATACTTGGAGAGCATTTTACTTCAAGCATTATGCTCTAGTAATAGTATGAAACCCAGCAACTTTTGTTTGCATTTATTCTACATGTAATATGAATCCCCTTTCCATCACTATTTAGAGAGAATGGAGTAGATCCAAGGACTTTACTTTCTGCAAGTGGAAGAGCTCCTTTGAGCTGCTTGAGCAGGAAAAGAGGTGATTTTGTGGCATTTTTTTCTAACTTCAGCTTCCAATGGTCCTCTGAAATCAGGTCTGGAGAACTGGGGGACCATCCAACACAGAATTCACATTGGTACTATTCTGTCAACAATGTTACTTCTGGACAGAGCCTGTGCATCTAGCTTCCATGTACTATACTGGATTAGCAGACATGGATATGTAAGAAAATATAGCTAAAGATAATGACAGGATTGCATGACATGGCAAGTAGCCAGGGTAGAATGTCATGTCATATGAACTAAGACACCTTCCTGCAGATTGGCTTCATTTTAGCCAACAAGTCACACTGGCTTGTTCTAGGGATTATTCAACCCATGATGGGTTGCCATGTCACCTGAATTCATGAGCCCAATCTCATCATGGGATCTGGGAAGTGCCAAGTGAGCTGTTCAGCAACAGCTCTTGCCACTCCGCAGTCCTGCTGATGTCATTGTCAATGACAGCTCCTCCACCCATGGCCAAACAGTGATCATCACTGGTTCACAACCATTTTATTACTATCATTGTTTCAGTTCCAGAAATGTGTGCAAATGTCTTCATATTTTTTTAAAAAAATTATGTCAGTCTTTCAGAGGTGTGCAGTTACAGCTGTCTGACATATGTACTCTTGCCTGGCCAATGTCCTTCTAAGATTAGTTACAAAAGGGAACCAAGTGCAGTTGATGGCATGGGTGGAAACTGGCAAGGCAAAGCTGCATATAGGCCTACAGTCTCTGAGATGTAAATCAAAAATCAATGGGAAAAGCAGACAAAATGTAGGTGCACCAAAGGGGGGTAGCAACAGGATCTCCTGCCTAGCAGTGTAATCCTCTGGATTTCAAATGCTGAATTGATTGTTCTCAGTACACTTCACATTTCTGATGCTTTCCTGGCTACCAGCCACTCACGAAAGGGACGATATTAACTCCTACTGTTTGCAGCTCCTTTTTGAAGAACTGTCTGCAAGTTGCTTTAGCTTCTTGACAGTTCTAAGAAAAGGTAGCGGAATGAGACGAAGTGAATGAGGCTGCTTGTGGTGACGGGGAGTGTAAATTCCATTGGTGCCCATCTGCTTAGTCCCAGTCTGCCATTTCTAGGGGTTTTTCTTCTTTAACTTTCTGGAAAAGTTGCACTTTTTATTTTGACAGGGAAATATATAAAAATTTAATGGCTGGGAAGTAAATGAAGGGCAAATATATTGCAGCAAAAGGGCCTAGCTTTCTCAGATTACAGGCTGCTCAAATGGATCCTTTAGATTCAGAGGAAGAGCAGAGGGACAATGGATTCAACTCTTCACATGGGCAGATGCTTCTCCCACATCTCAAAGAGAACCCAATTGTTTTTTATGTTGTTTTGTAAGCTGCAGAGCTCTAAGGAAGGGCTGCTTCTAAAGTTTCATCTAAGCCTGTTGGAAAAGCTGGGGAGAGGCCTGCTCACAATGCATTTGCGGATTTCATGGCTTTTTCTCCTTAACATTTGGCTCCATGCACTATCCACCCCTGCTAATACAGGTTGCAGAAACTGAGGAATTCAAAAGAACTGAGGCTGTTTAAATAGGAGGGCAGAAAAACTCATACTTCCATCTAGTCAGATCCTTACAAACAGTTTGGTAGGGAGAGATTCCTTGGTTTGATTGACAGAAGAAGCATGAGTCTTGAGGATTTTTCTCTCACATCCTCCAAGGAGCATCAATAAAGTTTCTTACTTAGTGCCTACCTGAGGTGCCCCAGGGAGAAGGCCTCTGTCAATTTTATGGACCTTGGTGACCCAAAATGGTTCATCTGACACTGGGAATTACAAGTCCAGTGTCTTTACACTGGCAATAACCAGCTAGAAAACTACCTGCCTTCCTCCACAGCTTTAAAACTAATTTGCTTTTATGGGAAAAGATCCAAGTATAAAAGGAAGTGCACAAGATATTATAAGAAAACCACACAACTTCTGCATTCAGACATCCGATAATTGTAGGTGTTCATGAAGTGTCACATAAGCAGAAAAATAGCCCATACAGTCACAGAGCTTAAGGACGGTTGAATTTTGTTCTAATTATAATGTTGGTGACATTGATGAATGGTGAAAGTGCTTCACTTTTGCTGATTTCATACATTTTTGTGGCTGTAAAGTAAGTCAAAGGAAAAGCTCAGGGGAATTTATCCAAGAACATATACAAAGATAATGAGTATACAACACAGAAGTAGGAAGGACTACAGATGCCACTGGTGCAACTTTTTAAAAAGTATAAAAGTTACAGAATAAGGGACAGCTTAGAAAAGTGAGGATGTAGCCTTTTACAATGTCCTGGCTGATAAGGAGGCCCAGAAAGATAAAGAGAAGTTCTAATCTTACACAATGAATCCCATGTAATGAATTTGTATAAAACTCTACTAAGTTAATTATTCTTATTTGAATATTATTGTTAAAAAGTCAGTTGTAATACTGACAAGAAGGCACCATGAGTAAATTCACATGGACGGTTTCTTCCTGTAGAACAAAAGAATTTCAATCCAGTATCTTAGATACAGAAATATACATCTGCAATACAGATCTGTCAGAAGCACTCCTCACTGAATTAAACAGGACTTAGGCCCAAGCAAATGAGCATAACACTGCAGCCTTAGTTAAGGAGTGGAAAAAAACAGAATGCCAAGCATAAAGGAATTAAGTAAGCATTTGCAATTGTTTTAAATAAGGCCAATGAGCATCCGGTATTAGAAAAATCAACCTAATCTAGTTTGACTTCATAGGAAAAAACCATACAAGGTGATCTTGCAGTTCCATTGCCTAGTGAGCAGGTTAGGATGTGTAGGGATATCAGAAATGAAGTATTTGGGGGAGGGGGAAGGTTCTCAAAGCACTATTCTTATTAATTTATCAACTGTTAATCTGAAGGAAAGGTAATCAGTGGTCACCAATAAATGGTACATGCCTGGTGGACAGTTATAATGTTGCAATTAACCTTGATTTAACAGAAGCTTTACAGCTAACTAAAATATGGCCATGCATGTGTATATTTTTAAATACATATTTTGTTTTCATTTGTCTTGACTGAAATATTCCTGATGAAGAATGCTTCCAGTATTCTGACACAGAACCAGGCCATGAGAAAACAGTATTCAGTCATTTATATCCAAGATCTTGAAATTCACATATGTGCAAAATGTTTGTGAAAGAATCTACTTCTCCTCCCTCTAGCCCATTTTCAAACTTCCAACCCCATGGAGGGAGAAAGAGAGAAATGAGTAAATCTCCATTTTAATAGCTGCCCTCAGACATTTTGCTCTGTAAGGACTATTTCAGCAATTTTTGGTGATAATATATTGCATTTCCTGATTAACAGCCATTTTATACGTTATGTAATTGGCTACAAATCAGGCAGATGTCATAATGTAGCAAGAAAACATTCCCATCTCTGTCACAGTCCAGGCTCAAGTTCCTGGAGGATATATTACTTGAGTAGTTTACGGGTTTTCATTACTTTAACTAATGTACTACCTGTAGTGCAGAGAGAGAAATTCTAAACTAATGATCACTTCTGCCTACTAGCTCTTTATAGCATCCCTATTATTTGTTTTGCACTTCTAAGTTTCCTATAGGGGTTCTGGAGAATTCTAAGGAGACTTTGTTCAATACATTTTTACTTACTTCAGTAGTCTCTTTCTAACCCAGAAATGCCAAGCTGTGGATAGAGGATTGTGTGAATAATAATTTTGGAGCAAATGCCACAAGGCAACTAGAAACAATTAATCTCAGGCTCTAATTCTGCTTTATATCTATTGAGGCCAAAACGTGATCCTGCAGGGCAAGTGAAATGTGTAACAATACATTACCATATATGCAGGACAGAGCATTGAGGAAAACATTAAAGCTTTATGTCTTGGCATGGCAATTTCATCACTGTTAGAACCTACTAATGAAAAAGAAAAATCAGCTTCATAACCCTCCAATTAACTGGTAATAGCATTTCATGACCATATATGAGTACTTAATTTGAAATTTTATACAAAACCCTTGTACTGAGATTAAATTGCTTCAGAGAGGCAGAACTTCTGGTTAGTGAAGAAGTGAATCTTTGACGCCACTAAGGTGTAAAGAGCACGCACTTGTGTTAAATACAGTTGCTTCCCGTAACACAGTGGAAGCCATTTTGATTATATTATGTTGTGTAGCCATGACACTTCCACATTAAGAAGCTGACTGTTATAAATGGGTGACCTTGAGAAAACCAGAACTGCAAGTGCTCATCCATTTGTTTGTGGGAGTAACTTGACATAAAGAGGAGCTGCAACCTTCCATAGTAAGTCCTTGGACTAAGTTGGACAACTGTCTTTCAATTCAAAGTTGAGGTTTTTTTTAAAAAAACAAAAACAAAATGCAAACAGTGCCAAAGATCTCCTTGCTCCTCCACAACCATAGCACCAGATTCAGAGGAAGGATTTTTCTTAGGACCACACTGAGGGTAAAGGGGTTAAAATCCACTTGCAGCTATCCTAGAATTTCTGTTTTCTCCGGCTGATACAAGCTGTGTTTTTTAAAACCTTTTAATAAGAGATATATTTTATATCTTGTGTAGTTTGGCCATCAGTAAGGTTACACATAAGCTATTTTTTCCTTCCTTCCTCCATTTCATTCTTTCCTCGAGACCATCTCCTATTGTTCCTTATTTACATTACTGATTTACGTGTTTGCTTCTATATTTTAACACACACTTCTCTGTTCCTAAGGAGAGAAACCATTTTGTTATATTCAAGTACTTATTAACAACAAAGGGTCTTTTGGTACATTAAAGACAAACAGGTTGATCATGGCATGAGATTTCATTGATCGGAGTCCTCTCATGAGATGCATGAAATGTTATCCATGGTTGGCAGATTTACATGGAGATACAAGAAAAATGTAAATAGAGTAGATAATGGCTGTAAAATTCAAAACCACTTCATATTTTATGTGGTCCCATGGTTTTCTATAAATCTCTCTCTCTCTTCCACTGTGTATGGGCACACATGCATGCATGCTCTCTCTCTCTCTCTCTATATATATATATATATATAGAGAGAGAGAGAGAGAGAGAGAGAGAATGAGTTTTGCGGCTAATACTTCACATACCTGATGAAGTGGATTCTAGTCCTTGAAAGCTTACACCATAATAAATCTGTTCATTTTTAAGGTACCAGAGGACTTTTGGTTGTTTCTGATGTCTCAGAACAACACAGCTCTGGAGGACATTATTATTACCTTTTCTACAGCTGTAAAACAGAGGCTGAGAAACTGTAAGCTGCTCAAAGCCTCCAAGAAAGCTCATGATTGAAACAGTTTCTGAGCACATATGTAAGAAAGGCTGCTTTAGAGTTTGTAGTGGGATCAAGGGCTGAATATGGAGACAGAATTGCAGATCAAAATACATTCCTGTGGAGATGCCTGTGTAACAAACACCACATTTGCGTTTTGATAGAATCCAGTTATCATGGGGAAAGAAAAATGCCTACCTCTAGCATCATTTTCTTGCCTGTTGGCATCATTGAGAACTCTGAAGCTTTTTTGTAGAGCGTTCTTGGCACTGTCCTTTAGTGAACCTTCTGGAGGAGTTGCCTATAAAAGAAAACACAACAGCAACCAACTAGTGTCAATGAAATGTATGCTAAACAGCAGGATCAGGAAAAGATTAAAATCTTAATAAATAAATAATAAATTGGGGCCATTTAGTTGAACAGTCATGAAAATTTGAAAAACTCATCCAAGTCTTTATCACTCTTATATGATACTTATCATACAGAGCTAGTAATAGATTTTTCAAATTAGTTTGGTTTTTACATCAAAGGGGAAGCATCTCGGGCAAAATTCCCATGAAACAGAGAATGGATATATGACTGAACTAGGGAACAGAACTTCAATACAAAGAGGCTTTTCTGCATCTGTATGGATACGGCTGTTACCTTACTAAAGATGTATGAAAGCCTTCTCATAATCACTATATAATCACTGGACAGAGAACATTATGAGAATATTTCCAGAGTCACATCTATCCTGCTAAAATACAACTTGTCTGTGAAATCTTACAATAACTGCATATTAGAGTTAAAGCACAGCTTTTCTCAACAGCTTATCTCCAGATATGTTGGACTACAACCCCGATTATTCCCAGCAGCTTAAGGAAATTAGATAGAGGTACTATCATCACACATGGCTTGTCCAGCTTTCTCCGATGATAATGTATAACTTTTGGAGAGGCCTTAAGATATAGGTCATGTGAATTCATCTATAAAGACAGCATCCCATTGCTAGACAAGAACTTAACCCTAGTAGAAACCCCAGCAGGGAGCTGATTGCCAGTCCAATGAAGTATGTAGCTAAGACTGGAGCACGGGGCAAAAGTCCAAGGCCACACAGCTGTGCTCCCCCAGTAACTACTAGAAGAGTGGCTATGGCAAAGGACACAGGCCCGGGACCCACTGCAGCTGACTCTGCTTTAGCACCCATTCCCTTTCTTCTTTCAACATTTAATGCTCAGGGGCAACTGACTGCGAATGTTTATTAATAGAAATGCTTATTTTATTATTTTTACTTTAAGGATATATGACCCTTCTTCATAAAAATGACACTTACTCCCAAATGAATGTGTTTGGCAAAAGAATAGCGGAAGTAAGCTTGATTTTATTCCAACAGTTACGACGGTGCTATGCCTTAAGTGAGTTCAAAATTGCAAAACTTCATATGCTCAGAGTCTTTATCTTTTTAATTCACAGTTTTTTGTTGTTATTGTTTTTGCTCTAACATAGCAGGAATCTGGGGACATATCTTAAGAATGGAATGGCTGCTGCTGGTAGGAAATATTTTGTGTATGCTTCACAACTAAAGTGATATTCAAAGCTTTCTAAAGTAGGGGAATCTATAAGAACATTTCATTCAGGGTGTAAAATTATCCAGCTGCACCACTGTATAGGACTGCAAGGCTAATTGAATTATCTTTAAAGCTAAAGCTAAACCTAACACAAAGCTTTGAAAAAGAAAAATTATGAAGGGGCAAACCTTAGAATGGTGAGATATCAATTAAAGGCTTCCTCAAGAATCAATCAATAAATAAATCCTGCCTCATTTAAATTAATGGATGTTTCATCATGATTTGAATAGTATAGAATTGCTATTCATTGTAGTTTAATTGAACATCAATATAACTCTAAGTAAAAAAGGGGAAAATAACTTGTCAGATGTATAACTAGATAATCACAATTCACCAGTTTCAGGGTTATATTGTATTTTATAAATCATGTGCTCATCATAAATATCATTTAAAGTCTTAAAAAATAAAATAAAAATGGGATTCTGAATTCTGAAATGGATCTTTTATCATGATAAAACCCAGATTACCATTGCCATTCAGGCAACTAATGGACTATGTAAATCCACTTGAATAGGGGGAATACCTCATCTGTGATTAATTTATTTTTCTTTAAAAGGAAGGGGGAATCTATCATATAAGGCACAAGAGGAATACTTCTGTCACATTTTAATGTGGTTTATCTTTCTAGTTGCCACTTATTCTTTCTGATACTGTAAGTATCTCCAGTTCACTGTTTCAGTTTTGCTTTTTCTTAAACCATTGTTTGCTTATAGTTTTAAAACAAGGGCTACAATCCTGACCCAGAATGAACATTGCAAAGAACTCCTAGTAGCACATGCATTTTTGGGCCATGGTTGTATCAGATATGAAAAGTTGGGGTCTCCAGTTCTTCCCTTGAGGAATCCATCCCTCCAACCCCTTATGTATACACATTTCTAACAAGACTTAGACTCTCCCTAGAATGTAGTAGTCTATTAGATGGCTGAAGAAAAGGAATGGGGATCTTGCCAAGTCCAGCCCAGCCTAGTCCAATCTAGCCTCCATCCTCTGCATGTAGAGGAGTGGATTGTAGAAAAATTCATAAAAATAAAATCTTAATTATTATTAATTATACAAACAAACAAGAAACAGCACAATGACAAGTTTTGACTTGAAAACTTTGTATTACAGACTTTGAGACTTCACAGAACACCATGAAAACACCAAAAGCTAAAATTGTGGAGTGAGCTAGACACTTCAATGAACTCATGAAATGATCAATATTCCTACTGGTATAGTGCTATGGGATACAAAACCACCAAAAGCCACTTAAAAACTTAACACTCTACACAGAAGCTGGAAAAGAACTGTACAGTTGATTCATCTTTTCTTTGTCACGACTCTGCTGTGTGAAAAGGAACTCTGAGCCCAGATCAACACTCATGTAAGATCTGCAGGTCACAAATCTGTAAATAAAACTGCTGCCTTATGGCTATTTTGAATTTCAGTTCCCATCAGCCCCTGCCAGTCCAACAATGGCCAGAAATGTTGATCCAAAACATGGTCTAAATCATCGGGCAGATGTGCAAGGCTGCAGCAGGTAGAGGAAAGCATTCCTTTGTTTCAGTCCACTTGTGTGATACCATGATACAAGCAAACTGTTCCAGAGGTGCTTAAAAAAATGATTCCCACCACTTTCTTACTATTTGGTATTCCCCTTCCCTACTAAAATAATTACTACTAACATCCTAGAAGCATTCATGGGTGTCTTTACTTGTGGTGCCACCATTAAATTTTCGGCAGCAATGGTAGAAAATAATATTTTGTGACAATTCACTTGTACTAGCTCTGTGTCTATCCTTTCCCACGTACTCATGGGCTGATACAGCTGGTTGTCCTAATATAATCTACTGGCTCACTGTTTGTCTGACAGATATTCAATTGCTGTAATACTCTTATTTGTCAGCTTTGTTTCCTTCATGATAAAGAAACAGACAATATTTAAAATTTCTTCAAATACTTAAATCACTCAAAGGAATAAAGACAACTTGAAGCTGGGTAGTTGTCCCAAAGTAATGTATGTCTCTTCCACCCATCTGTAGGGGAAAATCGTGTGGTTACCTACCATGTAGATGACTCCTGCTCTAACTGGGAGAGGAAGGAGTGTTTGACTATCTGGTAAATATCTATGCATCCTTCCCTAACTATAAAGGGGCACAGCAACAATTGCATAGAAGGTAGAAAGCGTTCCATGCTGGCTAGTGTAGATGAGATCTGGTAAACATTTGTTTGGAGGTGCGAAAGACTGTCCTAGGCTTTTGAAGGAAGAAAGTGTAAAAGACAATTGCTTGCATTTGTTTTCTTTTTCAGAGAGCATTGCTTTCTCTTACCATTTGTACAGCTTCATTGGCCTGAGCTTTAGCTGCCTTAGAAATGGCATCAGCTTCATCAATATAGTCCTTGATATTACTGTAGGCTTTAAAGGCTACTGTGGCATTGAAGGAGAGGTTTTTAGCTTCCCCAAGGATCCTGTTAGGATGTAAAATGCATATAATTGAGATACTGCCTCCTCTCTTACCAGCCTTCCCAGTCTTTGAGGTCACTGATAGTTTCCTATGGACCTTTGGTCCAGTTAGAATCCACCTGGAGAAAAGCCTTCAATTTCTTGCAAACTTCCTGCTTTTGGAGATCAGGCTCTACAGTATGACATCTCCTGAAGCAGTTTTTTTTTTTTTTTCAGGAAGCTTTCCTGAACTAACTAGTCACCATTTAATAACTTGGATATTCATTTTATTTTTACCATGTTGTTCCCTCTTTTATGTGTTTATTTTTTATTGTGCACTGCTCCAACATGTCCATACTGAAAAATGCAGCAGTATATGCATTTGTAAATAAATATATAAATAAACTTTAAACACTCAAAGGGAACTCCACAAGTTTGATGTGTGTTGTAAGTAACATATCTAAATGGTATAGAGTTGATCAGCCCACACAATAAGTTCACTGTGCTACCAGAGGATAAGACATGGACTTAATGGGAAGTGAAACAGGAACTGGAGTTTCAGTACTCTTTAACCACTGGTGGCACGGCTAATACTTCTTGAAGTGCTTTCCCTTTCCTTTCAAAGTGTTAGTCATTAAACTAAAGTCAAGAGCGAGTATGACAACCTAAGATTTTTCTTTGTCTAGTATTCGGGAAGATTGGGACTGACTGTCATCTTGATTTGGGAATGGCTACAATGACATGATGAAGTTTGGGAGTCCCTGATCTATACTGAAAGAGAACTAAGATAAAAATGATTTATTTATTTCTCTCCATCAGTGAATTCTACAAGGCAGTCAAACTGAGGTACAAAGTAACAAACTCATGGTTAACATACCCATCCAGTATAGCAGATGAATCATTCAGCTGGGCAGCATGTCTCTCTGCCTGAAGCACCATTTCTGGAAGATTCTTGTCTTTGATGTCTTGAGATAAATCGTCTATTTTATCTTTTAGTTCATCAGACAGTGGACTTATTCTATCTCGAATCTCATCCACATACTGAGAACCACAAAAAAGAAGAGCAGTTTAACAACTGAACAAAGGAATTATTATTCTGTGAGATTAAAAAATAATAACAATTAATTATTCAGTGACTCTACCAACAGATTTCAGAGCTAACTTGTTTCAATTCCCAAGTGATTTTTATCCAGATAAAAGTCAGGTTCCTACCTGCTTGGTTTGGATGGAACAACTGCCGTCTATCTCAGTTATACAAATCTAACTAATCACATCTTAATGGGTGGAAAATATAATATGGAATAATATGGATTTAATTAATTGATTTTCAGAAAGTAGAAATACCTTCAAAATTGTATTTCATGGGCTTCATTTATTTTGAAGGCTTGATGAAAAATAATCTCCCCAGTAAGTCATGTGAACAGGCTCTTATCAAAAGAAGCACATGTTATGTTATCAACATAATTCTTTACCTACAAAGATATAAACTATGAATTATGAAATAAAGCTGGTTGTGAATTTTCTAGAACCAATCCACTATGCATAAAATTTGTTGCAACAGAATGCATGCACCTCTCTCTTTCCCCATTTCAATTCAAATCCATTTACTGGGCAACAACACCACTCTGATTGTAGAACAGCTACATTTTCTGAGTAGGGTTGGAACCTTTTTCTTCTTCACTTCACTCTCCGCAGCAGCAGCAGTGTATAAGCTGGTTTTAAAGGGAAACTAATACACTTATTGGAGAGGGAAGGAGGGAGGGAGGGAAAGAGCCTGGAAAGGTGGGGGCCAGATCTGCAGTTCAAGAGTAGAGGATATTTATTTCTGAGGTTTAATTGACTCAGAAATAAACCCAGCCAAGTTCATAGTTCTTCAGACGAGCCTGCCTAATGTCCAGGCCAATCTGATATGAACCTCCTATTCGAAGGAATACTCTGCACGGAAATATTTGTTGGCCCTCCCAAATGATATGCCCTTATGTTTGGGACAGTTTTCACCTCTTCCCTTCCAGAAATCTTTAAAATTCAGCTTGACCGTAGATTTGACTGGACACTATTTAAAACAATTTCCATTACATTCCAGAATGTCTATTCTCACCTTTAGATTTTATACCGGAAAATAAAAAGGCATGATTGAAAAGCCAAATATTTTTGAAACAGTAATGTCAATAAATAGTTCAGTTTACTGTAATCACCTGTTTCAGTTTTAAGAAAAACGATTATCTTCCCTAAATATAATCATATTTACCTCTACAGCTGAATTGATTCCATCTGCAAGGTCATTAGCTGCACTGAGGATATCATTTCCTTCTTTTAGAGTATTTTCAGCCTCTTGTCGTCCATCTTCCATAGCTTGCTTCTTTTTCTGTGGAGTATATTTGATTGTGTGGAGGAAATAGTTCAAAATCTATATGCATTTGCTTTCATTTAACACTTCCAGTATTGTTTACTTTCAACGGTTTTGCTTCATTTGCATTATGAAATACAAGAAGGTGTTTGCAGGTAAGCTTGGCATTCTACCTCTCCTAATACTAAAGAATTAGGAACTTGCAAAAGAGGCAGAACAACCAACCGTAGGAGCTGGGTGCAGGGCATCTCCAACACATTACAGTCTGCTGGTTCTACTGTGTGAAGTCTACCTAGATCCTTCTCTGTTCTCCTTCTCCTGTTTGCTGTTGTGGACCGTTATTTTTGCCTGGCCGCTGTATACCCTTCACTAATCTTTGCACTGATCTGTGCCATAGCTTGACCCCTGCCTGTTTGTCTCTTGGATCCTGAAACCCCAATGCCTGTAACTTGCTTTTAGCTAGGGTCTGAATGCAAATAAACAATAAAAATGGCTGCCAATTCATAAGTTTCCATTTGCATATGTGAGCTCTGCACCCCCCTGAAAGCAACAACCATAAAACTGTATATTAAAGATTTGGGATACAATTTTATGGCATCTGAAAAATGTGTCCCTTTTTCTAAAAAGCAGATCTAATTTCTTGCTTAGTTGAGAAGAATATATCAAACACAGGAGCTGAGTGCTTCATAAAATTATGATGTAATAAAAGATTTCCTCTCTCAACTTTGAAGAAGAAACTGAGAAGCTCGATCTAATGTTAGGATATGGCAGTTGTTAGCCCTTGAGGCCAGCGAGCATTTTATGAAAACTAGCATCATAGGACTAATAACTGCCTTTAGGCACAAAATGACTGAGACATAAACAAGGAACTGAAACATTTGTCTTCATTTAAGGTTGACTTTGCGCTTCCTGTCATTGCTAAGCACTTGTTAATGTACAATATAATGTGCTTTCAAGACTTTGCAATTAAAATTAAATCAAGGAAAATCATTTACACTAGTTACGAACTACAAAAGATATGTGGTAGTTTGATTTATAATCTGAATTTGCATATACCCATTTAATTCCTTACTTGGGAGCATGACAGAAGGAGAAATTGCAGCTGTACTAATACTGAAGATTGACTGGCTTTGTGTGTATGTGTTTGTGTGTGTGTGCTTGTGTGTGCACCCATGTGCACATCTGCTCAACAAGAAAGAACAGTTGTTTGGGGCCATATATAGGCCTTGTCTATTTGGATTGCTATAATCCATCTGTAAAATACACATACATTAATCACAGACTATTCACTAGAGGAAAATTTAGGTTTCCTTTCATTTTTTTCCTTTATCAATAGTAATTCAAATGATTTAATTTTATCCCCAACCAGGGATTAAAACCACGTGTCAATTAACTTGTGTGCAGATTTTACTAAGTTCCATCTGTAGTATTTCCTAGCATGGCAGAAGTTTTCTGATTCTGAGAGAAGAATATAAGCTACATTTTTGGCCCTGCATCTAATCCACTATCTGTTGCTTCCATCCACCACCACTGTCAGAAAAACAGCTCCAAGAAGGAAGTCTTCTGATCAGAAACCCACCTCTACTACAGTCATGTCTTTTTGATTGATTGCAGATAGTCTATTTGCCTCTCTAATTTTGTCAGTGGCTTCTCTCAGCAGGTCCAAAGCATCATCTACTTTATCTTGGTAGTCTGCCAGTTTGTCTCTGACTTCATTCTTCAGTTCCTCTGTTTTCTTCCCAGGCTCTGCAAATAACTTATTCACATTCTTCAGGAGGGCTTTTGCTGCTCTGTAACAAAGTAGATAAAGAACTGGCAGTGTTTCTGCCGTACGTCGTCCTATGTGCTTACAATACTACTTTAAAATGGACTTAGAGTTCTTAATAATTTGGGGGACAAATTACAACATTTCCTAGACGACCTCAGTGATGGGTCTTCATTTTACTTTTGTAATATTTAAGTTTTGAGAATGTGGAACAAAGTAAAACGTGTGCGCTAAATGGCTAAGTTCACATTAAAAACATCAGAAGTAAAGCGGTCACTTGCCTTGCTTCTTACTCTTGGAGGCCACAAAACTGTCACCAAGAGCTCTTCTATGCGTGCATAATTTGTATTGCAAATATCATAACGCAATATCATTTTGGGGGGTGTGGGCATTATGCAATGCTTATATCATTAAGGGTAGAATCCTATGTATGTTCTGACCACAAAAAGTCCTACAACTCCCAGCATGCCCCAATATTTCCATAGCTACCAAGACCAAGTCACAGACAAGTTTAAAGTCTTCACTAAGCCTTACATGGCAAACTGTAGCTTTTTCTTTCTGCTATTACTACATTTTTTAAAAATGGAAAAGCACAAACAGGAAGTGCAATATTTTGTGGTATTGCAATTTCCCCATTCAAATCATACTCCTTCCAAATGCCTTCTCAGCCATAAAGGAAAACTTGCAGATAACATAGAATAATTTGGCTTCAACTCTGGGCTACTCTGTAACATATTAAAACAACACAATGGAGCATGTTCTAAAACTATTTCACATGGTACTGATTGTCAGAAGAAAATTGACAGAGTAATTATATATGAGGCTATTTTATGGCTTTCCTACTCACTCCAACTCTTCTTGAGCAAATTCCTGTTGTATATTCAGTTTTCTCTTCCTGAGTTCAGCCATCATTTTGTCAACTTCATTTTGTAATTCATGAAGGCTTTTGTCTAGGGTCTTATCTGGAATTCCAAGTGTCTCATTCAATCTTGAAGCAGTATCGTTTGCAGCTGCAGAAAAGTGGCAAATTATGCACATCAACAAAGAGAGTGGAGAAATATAATATATTCATGTTATCTGTCTCAGTAAGTGGCTTGCAATTGCCACTGGACATCCCTGGTCTGAAATACAAAGAGCTATTAATTAAATGACCAGTAATAAATGAGAAGATATCATGGTTTCCCATCATATTCCTTCCTATATAGGGGCCAAGGTTTTGTGGTAGAGGGTATGCATAAGATTCCAAATTGTGTGTGTTTGTGTGTGTGTGTGTGTATGTATATACATATGTATTATATTTATATCCCACCTTTCTCCACTTGTGGAACTCAAGATGGTTACATGCGGATCTCAGGTGGTCTTCCCTTCCAGTTCAGCTCAGACATGCTTAACTTCAGCATGGTGGATACCTTGCGTGTCTTCAGACCACATGCTGCGTCAATTGTATGATAGGATTGTACCCCCTGCATCACCAGTTAAAGGATGCCCTGCTGTATTTCTTGGAAAGACTTTTGCCAGGAAGTATAGACAGTCCTGGGCTCAAAGCACCACTGATTTGAGCCAATGGTTTGATCTAGCCCAAGGAAGATTTGTATGTTCATTTCACTTTACTGATGTAAATACTTAGAGTAGTAAACACTTAGAGTACTACTATAGAGCAGTAGTGGAGTAGTACTATATCTAGTAGTATGGCTAGACAACATAAGATCTGGTATTAGAATTCATAGGAAAAAAAACTGCAGAACAACAGAGGTACAATTAACAGAGGTTCAATGAACTAATGGAGAGGGAGAATCGTCAAAAATAGTTTTCTTCATTAATATTTGTTTGGATATAAATCAAAATTATATCTTCTCATTTGATTTCACACATGTCCATATATTTCAATGGATGCCATTTACAATTGGATGAAGAAAGTAAAGATGTGGAAGTAATAGACCAGCCACTTGGCATTTAAAATGGATTTTTTAAAATTGACAACGAGACTTAAGATTTATAAATTTAAAGTCAGATGTGAAAAGCAATGGTTGAAACTATTCGAAATCCATGCTTGGAAATCAACTCTAAATCCCTTTTTTGCCACATTTTGAGTTTGCACAAGTTTTGAAGGAAATTATAGAGATGTCAACATTATCTTAGGATAATGTAAGCTGGGAAACATATCGGACAAAATAAATTAGTATAATTGAAGATTCTGTATTTAAATTACCTTTTGCAAGTAGATTGAAACAAAAATTGTGCAGTGGTTAATGATTATGATAATTTATGATAATAATCTCAAGCTAGAGTAAGAAGTCAACAGTATACAATAAACATAAATCTTTGGATACTTAGTGTACCATAAGAGTTGTAAATACTATGGTATACTAAGTTGGCTGGGCTAGTTCTGCTTACTTTGCCTGAGAAAAAAAAGAACTGGAAAGGGGACTGAGAAGGAAAACTATGAAATACTTATAAGGATAGCACCTTAATTTGAAAAATTGCATGGAGTTTGCAACCATGCAATTATTTTGTCCAATATTATTCATATTCAGTGGCCTGTCACGTTACCACCCCGAGAGGTTGCTTGATACATTTGAATGATTGTTTTCAGTTGCACTTTGGAGTTTACTGAATCACATTCCTTACTGGGCAGAGCTGGAGGAGTCCCAGAGCTAGCAATCATTTGCAGATGCTGGGAAACAGATGTTTATTAATGGCAAGCAGTAATGCATATTTAAAACTATTTTGAGGAATTAAAGATGCACTCTTAATGCACCATACAGAATTGTGGAGTGGCATGAGTTTTTTTTCTTATTCTCCAAATAAATTTTACTGCCTTGAAAATAAACACAGCAAAGCAGAAGCTGCCCATCAGTTTTTTAATCATAATCCCTATTCTTCAAGAACCTAAATGTAGCAGAAGGAACACATTTGCTCTTTTATGCTAGTCTGTGCTCCTAATCTCCAGTCCACCAACCACTGTAGCAAGCTCCACCCCTTAGATTCCAGGGAGTCTGCAATGATCTGGGTGGTAGCTTTGCTAGCTCAACCCGGCTGAAAACCAGGCTTTTAATCAACGTATTCCATTCAGCTCATGAACTCTGGTTCCACGCCTGGTGCTATTATTCCTAAAGCATGCTGCTTCACTTTTCTTGAGAGGCTATTGGCATTTTTCTTCCTTTCTCCAATACCTTCTGCAGCCTGGAGGGTGCCCTTGATAAACTGTCCAAGCACCTTCGCTCTCTCATTAGTCGTCTCAGCATCCTGTCTGGTTTGTTCCCCATCTGCTGTCACCTTGGTCGCCTGGCGACACAGATTAAAGAAAAGTGTAATTAATGAACATGACAAGGAGATACTCCATCTGCCTGAATCTACTTGGAAACCTTACCTCAAGCAAGAGGCAATCAATGCATTATTGATCAGATAGACTGGAAGTGACAGACACTCTTCCCAAGTACACAATTACATTTTATTACTACTTCTACCATTAAAGAGCCATCAGAGACTTCATCCTTGATTCTTGGAAAGCACAGTGGAAAGAACAGGTCACAAAAGAGATTCTGAATGACATTATTCTTTGACTTTGTTCACAGATACTGTTCTTAATCCATGTAGAGCTTCATCCATGATGAAAATACAGAATTCCCACTGACATAATGATCCTTGAAGGATTCATTTAGGCATTTCAGTCTTACTGATTTCAATTTCCCCAAGAACATCTAAGTTACACACCAGGTCTTGCCAATAATGGATGCTTCATAGTCTTTTTACACAATTATCATTATAAAGTAGTTAATCAACAACAAGGCTCCCTATTGGCTCTGTGGCACCAAGCCAAACTCTTTTTTGCAGGGGAGCAAGATGAAGAGTTTAAGCCCTGGAATTTACATGCTCCCTTTCACATTCCCTGATAATATGGGATTCATTGTTTTGGGTCATTTCTGGAGGGAGAGAAAGGGAAGAAGTTCACAACACTTGCAACCAGTCCAGTGCTAGATACACAGTCATCATCCCTACTCCTAAATATCAGTGAGTTATACCAGGTAATGTTTAGGACTGCAGGCAAGAAATCGGAAGGAGATTGAGGCTTGGAAGCGCAGTAGTGAAGGATCTAGAAGGAGGCCGAGGCCGAGATTATCCACTTCCTGATAATCTTCCTGATCACTATGTGTGGGTGTGAGAAAAGTGAAGAAAACCAACAGGAAGAAAATTGATCTGTTTGAAACATGGTGTTGGAGGAGAGCACCATGACAGAAAGCAGAATGAGTGGGTCCTATATCAAATCATCCAGATGCTTCCCTGGAAGCACGCATGGCAAAACTAAAGCTGTCATACTTCAGTCACATCATGAGAAGGCAAGATTCACTGGAGAATTCAGTAATGGTCAGAAAAGTTGAAAGCAGGAGGAGGAAGAGGAGAAGACCGAATACAAAATGGCTCAAGCCGGCTGAGTGGATCTCAGGACAGTTTGAAGGGCATTCATCATTGCATCATCATAAGTTGGGGGTGACTTGCCAGCATGTAACTACGTTTCAGACACACATTGTTCATCCTCAAATGTTCTGAAGAAAGTCCTGTGGTTTTCTCATGCAATTTTTCACTATTTCATAGACATGCAAACAACCGATAGAACCCAAAACATCTGTGAAATCTGTAGGCATTTTACTATAAGAGAATAAACAAATGGATAGTACTGTTTATTAATGAAGTGTCCCTTTTTATTTACAAAAATGATCTAAAGGGAACTATTACTTACATTTTCCACAGCAAATATATTCAACTACTTAGAAGTATGACAGTAAAATGGTATGGTAATTGCACTCTACTGTAAGCCTTCTATGCTTTTAATCCCTGGTGAATACAGATGCTCATTTGCCTAATGACAAGGCACACTGGCATCCGTATAGGCACTTGACCATCTGGATTGTGTTGCCAAATGAGGAAAACCACAACTTTGTTCACAGTCAGAAATTCAGTGATGGAGGAAATTGGTAAGAGTCCTTTCCATTTGGATGGAACAACACAGACAACCAACTTACTAAGGTTGCAGTTGTATACCCCTTGCCTGGAAAAAGTAACTGAGTAGACATGTAGAAGGATTGTATGGTACAGGCTATATCAATGTGATGGTGAATGGAACCTGAATCCAATACCTGAAATCAAGAATTTTGAAAGCACAAATGGCACAGAAGAAAGGAAATTGGTTCTGTAAGACCATATTCCTAGATTTTCTTCTTTTGCTCCTTCACTGCATTCCAGCATTTACCACTGCTGAAATCAGTTTTTCAATTCAAGTTTATTTACCACTAGGTGGCACACTTTGTATTAATATAATCCTTTACTTGATTCACTAATGAAATTCCAATTTCTGCACAGTTTGGAGTGTTTACTAATAAAAGGAATAGCAAACAACATTGATGTCATCTCAAGAGGATTCTACCTCCTACCAAATAAAGGTGTTTTTTAATAACAAATTCCCCCCGCCTTTCCAAAAGTTTGCTTGATAGGAAATAAGTCATAACTGAGATTTGATTTTAATACATCATTTTCTCTCTCTTGCTGTGCCTGTATTGCATTACAAACTGAAATAGACCAGCCAAGTGCTTTGGTTTACAAGAATAATTAAAACCAACAAACTAAAGTGCTTTTACCTGTATAAGACAAATAGTAATACAAATAAAAATCTGATAAAATTAAACCTTTGGCTATATTTTCTTTTGTCACTTTATAACTGATCAACACTTGGACAAAAAGAAATGGGTGATTTATTTTTATTTTTTAAATTTAAAAGCAGCTCCCCCTCCCTGTGTGTGTGCACATGCGCACGTGTGTGTTAGGCAACCCAGTCACAGATCTTCCAGCACACATCTGGTTTGGCCTTCAAATTTGGCATCTGTCAACTGATGAAGATGATATGAAAGCAGTTATGTGAATGAATCCTATAATGGATAGAAGATCTTAGCCAGCAGGTGTTAAATAAGCTAAATTTTTGCAACTTTTTAATTTTAAGCTTTTTTTTTGCAACTGGGGAGAACATCAGATGTGGGACTCTCCACATAATTTCCTTTCACTGGATTCCTCTCCCCTTTATGACTGCAAAATTTGGCATGGAAGGTGGAGCTTGCTTTCAAATCAAAATGGGCATGAAAAGTTGATCTATATTTCCACTCAAATATAATAGCATGTTCTTATTTCTAGTTGGTTTCAATCATGCATTTAGTAATGAACCACTTAAGGCATCCCAATATTTTTAAAGTCTGGTTATTGCAATTTTGATAAATAAGCTGAATTGTGGAGAATGTAAAATAAGGGGTTGGTACCCTGAGTTCAGATGGGAAGAGAACTCATTAGGGGTTAAACAACCCTGGTAACAACCCATGGATATTTGGGATGTCTTGGGGCTCACATACAATCCATCCTGTAGAAATCAATCCAGGTTTGCATGGCATGACAAGTCACTGGGATAGGAGCCCTGATGGGTTGTCATGCTCTGAAAAACACAGCCAATGTCTTTCATTCAAGATCCACCCATTTAAGCATCATACTCACCCTTGTCAACAGCTCATCCATCTCTGTCACAAGGGTATCCAAATTCTCCTGTGCCAACCAAACGAGTCTCTCCGGTGCTTGCTGAGGTGACAATAAATGCTGAGGGTATAAAGTTGCATATATTACATTTCATACAGGATTTCATATTTAACAAGAAAACATTAAAGATTTCTTACTTTGCTGAATGTCTTCCCTACTGAGTATTGTCATTGCAGACACATCAGAAACTGTTTAAGTATTTTTTCTGCTCTCCTGTATACTCCATCAAATATCCCACATCCTCAATCAAATATTCTTATCACTATTCCACTGCTAAGTGACCATTTTATGTTATCAAATGTTAAGACCATCATTTTACACTAATTGTACACAATTCACTTGATTTGATCTTACCATTCATTTCCTTTTCTCTAAGAGAACGAACAGAAATTGCTACTGCATATTTTTCTTACTATCTCTCCCAAGAATGTGCTGTAATAACTGCTTAAGCACTGTGGCATGGTCAAAGTAACCAAACCATTAATTCATCTTTTTTCTCAGATTTAAGCACAACAGCACAGGGTGATAAAAAGTATGGGCAGGTCTGTGTTTCAGTGTGTGAAATCTAAAGCCAGTGATGTTTTTGTGCATACCTTTAATTCCTGGGTTGTATTTTCGAAAGAATAAAGCATTTTATATGGTGGATGAAGCGGCCCACTGAGATTGACACTCAGAGCCATCTGGTGTAGCTGATCCAAGTCACGGAGAAGGAATCCAGTGCACTCATCATCACAAGCTGTGGAAAAGGACAGCATATTTATTCCCGCTAAATATCTGAGGCAGATGCTTGGTATTTCAGCTTCAAAATATTTTATACTGCACATAAAATTCTCCAGAATACAAGTCCACTAAATTCCAACAACCAGTGTCTAGAAACATAGTGCAAAACAGGTAGGGTAACAAAATGTAAGCAGCAGATGGGATGCATGGGTATCTAATTGTCAGCAACTGTCTCACAGGACAATGTGATATAAAGTATGATTTGCATAGGAGTTCAAGATACACTTCACAGTTTACAGAGTCATAAAAGGGGACCCCTAAAATGCAGTCCAGAGCAGTTTAATAATCTAATTTAGATTTGGTGGAGGGAAATAACTGAGGAATGGAATGGTGGTGACATGGACAATATTTTTTATTTAAATGCCACATGGATACTGTTTGCCTTGGAAGCATGGAACATGCCTTTCTAATTCTACTTATAGATCTTTATTTTTATCTCCGTGTATTTCACATTACCTCTGTGGTGTGCACGGCCAGACTGCTGGAAGACACAAGCAACATTACATTGGGCTTCTTTCTATAACAGCGTTAAAAGACATAACTGTGGTCTGAACAGCCAGAAGGTCGCAGTGTCCTGAGATTATTAAAGCTGTGCGATTGGGGAACAAATGTGGTGCAAGGGCAAGAGCTGTGTCATCCTCCCTTTCCAAGTCCTATGCAAAGTCTCATATGTAATATATGGCTAATAAGCACATGATCTTTAGGGTTGTTCTACAAGTACTGAGAAAATGTATGTAAAGTACTTCAAGTACTTAAAATTGTGATAGAAACACTAAATATTCTTATTAATTTATGTTTTAAAGTAATTTGCATTTTCCATCCAGTCATCTTCCATCCATTAAAAGAAGCCCTTCATAGGTCTGCACAGGGTTATGAGTCCCTTAATTTTGAAGCACAGAGGCATTTCAGATGGTTTTGGATACTGTGCTATGAAGTAGAAACTGTCTTGCCTAATAACAGTGGCCTAATCACTTCATTCAGCAATACTTTGAAACTTTCCACTGGAGCAAAAGAAAACCATTAAACAAGCATCTCTGACAAATGATTAAGTGCAGTGGTGGATCATTTCCTAATGATGAGGGCACAACCATTTAATTTGATCTAGCACTTGATTACCTTTGCGGCTTCCTGTACAATGTTACGATCATTGGAAGATGTACATCCACAAGTAACCTGGTTGCATCCTAACTAAAAAACTGGGACCCCTCCACCTACATACAGTCAAGCTGTAAGTCCCAATTCTTTTGGAGCCCAACCCAGTGCTGTGTGTGTGCAGCGGCTGGAGTTGGGCACACGGTCCCTGAAAATCAAGCTGCAATCATACCCATCCACTGGAACTGGGTGGGAATGATGAAATCCAGTGCCCGTGCCCTACACTGGAAACACCTGACTGGTCTGAGTGCTGTTCTTTCATGTAAATAAGCATGGGCAATGCCAGCTGCTGGATCAAGCTGGAACCACATGCAAGCCGACTTGTTTGAACTTATTATTTATTTATTTATTTATTCAAAACTTTTATATGCCGTCATCACATGCCTCGGCATCCCGGGACGGCTCACAGCCGTAGTTCCCCATTTTCTCAGTATGCCTGCTTTAAGTCGGTTGAGGCAAACACCATCTGCTGTGAAAGGATATTACTCGATTCCTATTTTACATTCTGCAACTCTTGGAAAAGTTGTACAGTTCAAGAAGTGACAAACTGGGTTATATGAAATTCCATCTTCTTGCTGAGAGATTCAGTATTTTTTAAAATTTTGTTCCTATACAAAGCATAACTAATAACTCGGCTCAGTCATTGGCCTCCCACTCAATGGAACATGAATCAGCTGCAGCCTCATTAATTTTAAAATATTTTATATTTTATCAAATATTATTTCTTAAATGTATCAACACCGCAAGATGAAACACTGAGAGTGCTGTGGTGATTACAGCGTTGGCCCACGGACCTGGATTTTAGGCCCCACTCAGCCATGAAACTCACTGGATGTCTCTGGGCCAGCCAGTTGCTCTCAACCTACCCTACTTTACAGGTTGTTGTGGTGAAGATAAAATGTGGTGGAGGGCTGTGGATGCCACCTTAGGGTCTGTGCAACAGAAGAAAGGTGGGATATAAATGTAGTGCAATAATAAGACTCCAAAACATGCAATTCACCATTCTAATGATAGCACATTCGAGGTTTTGTTATGTCCAACTTATAAATTAACACATGCAAATAAAAAGGGACTTTGAAAGGTAAGATAACCTACACTGCAATCCTAGATGTATCTCCTTGGAAGAAGACACTATTGGGTTCAATGAAACTTATTCCCAGGTGTGTGCAGGACTGTATCCCTTTCCACTAATGCCTAACACCCTTGAAAAGGAATGGGTGTTGGAGCTTAGGCTTGCAGAAGGGTAGTCCTTGGCAGTCAAGCACAGAAGCTGATTCTTCCCCTCTGCTGCCCCAGCAAACCTCAACTCTTGTACGCTTTAGCATCCCTTCATCCCACGCAATTACAGCAAGCTATTCTGCAGGGGGAAGTGGGCAGGACAATTTCATAATTCTCTTGCTGGCTTTTTACAAATCCCACATGCTTTTCTACTTGCATCTTCCATACATCTTAGTTCTCTGGGACTGGGAAAACACAATTAAGCCCTTAATGAAGTTCTTCAAGTCTCAACTGTAACTAGAGAGTTAAAGAAGTCACTTGGCCATGAGGCTACCCTTCCTCTCTAGCACTGACTGAAGACAGATTTTTTTGAGCATCTGGGCTACTTCAAAAATGATCTAACTGAATTGAATCCAAAGCTCCTTTCCTGTTGAAGGCTAGGCTATAAAAAACTGGCACTGCATCTTCAAAGAAGGAACAGGCTGTGCACAGAGTTGATTGCCTAACCAAGGCACCACCAAGAAACCTCCACTCCCATTCCTCAGAAGCAATTTTACACTGTAAAAATGTGTATCTTTTTAATAAATAAGCACAGATGGGCTTATTCAGCACATTTTACAATTGTAAGATGGCAATACATTCCAAAGATAAGCTACACACTGTAGGTTGTTCATGAAACAACACATAGTGCTCCTGACAGACAACTAAGCTTAGTGTGGTTTGCCCCTACTCCTTCTCTAGAGGACTTAGTGACAGAATCCGTCTTGACTCTTCTCTTTGCTCTGATTGCAACCCTTTAGGCAGTTAGGGTTTCCAGCTAGAAATAAGTGTATAAAAACTTGCTTCCACTGGGGTGGGGTGGAGGAAACATGGGTAGAAGGAGAAGCTCAATTTTCATCCCTTCCTGTGCTTTCTGATGTTCAGTCAAATTCATGATAAATGCTTCTCATTACAGAATCAGGTGTGATGCTGTTTCAGTCAGCATGGAGCTAAAACTACATTTTAGCTTGCAGAAGTAGAAACAAGAGCAAAGCAAATCATTGGCCAGGAGGCAAATTGATTTAGTGCACCGAGAAGGCAATTGTCAAGTTGCACGAGGCGGCACCGAAATGTTATTTTCAGTTACTTCCTTTCCTTGCTAAATTCTTTTTGCTTTCCACACCATACAGTCTTCCCACTAATTTGTTGCTTGAACTGAAGTACACTGTAATTGCTCTGGCAAGGGGACCATATTTTCTACTTTATGCATGTATGTCAGAAAAACCTATTAGTGGCCCAAGTCTTCTCATTTGTGTGCTTGTATATGGAACACAAAGAGAAAGAGTATTTCCATAAATAACATATAGGTTTAACACTGAGCTGTGAGTTTTATAAGCCGGCATCTATTCTAGTTGGTCAAGGAGTCATACAGAACTGTCAGGCTGGAATTCAAAAACTGTAAATCAGATAAATAGCAGAAAACCATTTTCTTTGAAAGACCTAGGCTACTTTAAAAAAAAAAGAAAAGAAAAAGAAACACTAGCTTTTGTACTAAACCAGCAGATAGCATTTTAATAGATTTCCCCATTTAAGCAGGCTTTTCCTAGTTAACCTTAAATGCTTGGCAATAAATATCACAAAATGGGATGCAAACAAAGAACAACTTAATTTTGCATTATGGTGAAACTGAAATGAATCACTTATAAAGACATGAAAATATTCTGAATGAACAAAAAATGGTTGCTCCTATCATGCAGAGTAAACATTCAGCATGAATTAACACCCTTTGAGTTGAAAATGGGGTTGAAAAGAGGAGATGCACTGAGTTCCATCTTTTGGTATAAGAAACAGGCTGATGTTACTTGAATAGACAGGCTAGAATATACTCAAGCAACAGAAACTGTTTTGAGATGATGGTTATATAACTTATACATGATTAAATGTTTTCAGGGTTTAGGGTTTATAAACCCATCAGTTTTAACCAATGCAACTTTCTATCCAGATCATTACCGCTATGCACACTTGAAAGACAGAAATCATGCCATGTTTCAATAAGAAGTTAGTAGAAAGCATTGGGCTGTATCCAACATCCATCTAATATAGGTCCTATTCATTTCAATATATCTGCTCTAAGTTAGGGATGTGCAAGGAATTAGTTTCGGGGGCTAAATAGCCAATTGATTTTTCTAACACAGCCCTCCAGGTTCTCTTTCAGCTACCCTGCATTTGTCCTGATGTGATCTGATGCAACTCAAGCCAACACACAGATTTCTACCTTTAAAACTGGCCCAGCTTTACTTGAATTTATTAAAACCAAAGTAAATAAATAAACACTCCTCAGAAAATTTGGGAAAATTGCAAAACCTGAGGTTTGGGCACATCTCAATGTTGAACGAATCTGTGCCATATGTGTGGTTTTCCCACTACTGGGGCCTATCTTGCTGTTAAAAAAGAAAGAGAATTTAGCAGCAGTTTAACTCTAAACACAATAAACAGTATTTGTAGGAAGAAATACATCACCAAAAGAAATCAGGTACTGGTTACATAATATGGGTGAGAAGAGTGTGTGTGGTGTGGCCGGGGGGTGGGGAGAAGCCAAAAGCCATAACATTTATTTGCAGAAATTATGGTAGTGCAACATAAGTGAAAATAGTAAATAAATAAACAAACAAACAATGTCTATTTTTGATGTGACCACATCATTGAACCCTAATGAGAAATTATAGAGCTGATATCAAACTAGATGATATTGACCACGATCCATTATTTGAGAAATGGGGAATATGGAGTGCTAATGAGAAAGAAGTAAGATGAAATTGACAAAGGAATATGTGGTGCCCAGGGTAACAAAATGGACTTGCAAATATGGTCAAATACTAAAAGCACCATAAACCCTTTTATGTAAATTGAAAGACTCAGGCCTCTTTTGCACAAGAGATCTAATTTGTGCAATTCACTATTTGCATAAATGGAGCTACAAATATATGGATCTCTGTTCTTAATGTTTGAAACTAGTTTGTTCACATTTCTGAACAGCATCCTAAAAAAAAGGAGTTGCCTGTTTCTGATGGCCAGATCAGCAATCCATGGAAGTCTGTCGGATTCAAATGAAATGGATCTCCCAACATCCCACATTCCTTCTCTAAGCAGGACTAACACTGGATATGACTCACTGGGAGCGAAATGCAACTTCTGCTCTGCAATGTGACTCTTCTCTCTTCTCCTCCCTGGTGCAATCTACCCCACCATCTGCTCAGGATGGTCCGGAAGCCTCTAAAGCAGATTTTGAGGACACAGAAGATAGGGAGAAGAGGTGGAGGGAAAATGGCTCCATGCACCATTCTGACATAATTATCCCACTGGGGAAAGGAATTAATAGAATACTATCCTGTGTGTTTACCAGTCGTTTACCTCATATAACAGACTTACCTTAAAGTGAAATTCCACACAAGAAAGCGTGCTTATAAAAAACAAAGTGACTTTTAAAATGAAACTGTTTGCATACAAAATCAAATCTTATATTAGTTGTGCAGATGTTTGAATATGTTATTGGTCAACTTTAAAAAAGTACTTTTCTAAGGCCTAAATACAGCAATGCTCAAGATCAAACTACACATTACTTTAATTCCATGCTGTTAGTGTTAATTCCATAGCCTGATAATATTATTTACTTTAGTGTGCGAAGTGTTCTGATTCACATGGGGACCAGTGTGCACTAGAAGGGTACAATTAAACCTTCCCATTTTACTCCAAAATCTCATCTCAACCCAGGAGGAAAAAGCAGGAAAAGAGTTTAATCTTGCCTATGGGTGAATCTGGATTGCTCACATTTACACCAAAGGAAATAAGCCTATCAGGCTTAGCAGCACACTACACAGTTAAGGTACTATTTAGTGTATTTCTTAAATAAAGCTGAGAGCTTAGGGTATTGAGTGGTTTAAAATAGAATCAATCAATCAAGCAGAAGGCTATCATTAACTACTGTGCTTAATCAGTCCTTCCCATATGTAACGAATGCTATTCAAGCTAAGAGGACTGGTCACTTGTTGGGCAAACAGGAATAAAGGTGGAGACAGAGAAAAATGGACTGGGTGCAACTTGAGTTTCCTTCTTGTCCTCAACAGATAATTGATTTGTGTTAGAACTTAATAGTTTTGTCCATCAATTAGCAGTGCATGCACCATACTTGTTGGCTGCTGGGTTCCAGTGCTGGATCCTTGGAAAGCATCTATTAGCAATGATATTGAAGCTGATTCTGAATTGTCTTTCCACAGATTGGCTAATCTGAATTAGGTGCATATTTGGGATGCAATCTGTCATACCAGAAGCATGTTTCGCCAATAGAGTTTTCTGCGTGGAGCTTGGCACATTCCCATTTCATTAGGATTTTAAACTTTTGATGGTTTATGGCACTGAACACTTGTCTTGTTTGAACAATGTTCATTATGCTTAAATATTATCCCATAACAACATCACTGTTATCACAGTTTGGGATAATTTAAATATTATGCAAGGCAACATCAGTGCCACGCCAACAAATTTTGTCTAAACAGAAATTAAAGGCCAATTGCAGTCTTCATCTGGCAGAAATGGTATTCTGTACGGCTGAGCTTGAGTCATGAAAATTTTCACCATTTCAGATCTTCATATTCCTGTTCAACTTAGAAAATTTCCTTATCTAGCTGCTTGAGAAGAACATAACAACTATCCCATTTGTCATGTAATTGTTGGCAATCATTTTGTTATGCTGAAGTGTTGACAATCACAGGAAATTAGACATGTGCTGAGGACAGAAATCATCAGCACAGTAACTGGGACCCCACCAATAAAAAAGAGGGGTCAGCCTATAAAAAAAAGAAGAGACTATGCAGAAATTCAGCAGTCTTTCAGTGCTGAACTGGTGGAGATTCTTACATTTTTATAAAAAGAAAGCCTTTGTTCTTTGACTTCCCATACTCCATCCTGCTCTGTGTTTTATTAGGAATGTGTGAACCAGCAGGACTTTGCACTGCTACCTCAGAGAAGTAGGAAAAATATTTTCTGACTCTAAATAAATGTTAAATAAAACAACAATAGAGCTTTCATGGGTTTTAAAAATCCACCTTCTTCTATTCCAGGCAGTGGATTTGAGCCAGGGGTGAAACCACCCGCTTTCCATATGCAGGGCACAGGCATAGCCTCAGGTATCTGCAAGAGGAGCTGGGAAAAACCCTGCCTGAAATTCTGGGGCAAGGCTGCCTGTTATTGCACACCTGCTATTTCAAACATGGTGTGGACACTTCTCCTGGAACCTGCCAGGCTCACTGACTCTTCTGACTTTTATTTTATTTCTTTTCTCCCTTTAGCTGATAGGAAGGCATGTACAAAGCAGTGGGCTTCCTTCCAATTTGGGCTCAAAAGCATGGCTTTGCATTTTGGAGGTCAGACCCCACCTCTCCCTTCCTTTTAGGTTCTTAGGAAAGGCCCTTTCCTTTTAGTCTCATCAGTTTGGCCTCTGGGAAATTACTGTTTCGTGACTAGTCATGCTTGCCATGGCAACTGTTTTATGATCAGACAAGCCAACTCCCCAGCCTTTTTGTTAGGGCAAACTATATTTTCAGAATTATAAACCACTGACCCAAAAAGGCTGGGGACCTTTGTAGAGCTTTGTAGGGAATGGTAGACAACATTGATGGGACAATTCAATATAAAACATATTCAGCTATGTTTCAGTGTGACTTGTTACTCCATTGAAAGGGGAGCTCCCTTCAAAAGGACAGCTCCCATCTCTTGCACAGCTCCAACAAAAGGCCAAAGGACTGACAGTCCATGTTTCTCCATTCTCCACGCACAAGCAGAATACCCATTTCTTCACATCTCACTGTCAACACAGCGAGTCTGAATGTAGCTGTCCAAAATGCAGTGGATAGACAGGTCAGGTCTCTACGGCTATTAGAGATCTGATCCAGAAAAGCAAGATTAACCAAACAAGCCACTGGAACTTTAGAAGTACTGTTAATATACATACAAACACATCGTATGCCTTCACGAGCATGCCGGGGTTCACATCCTGCACACTTCAGGCCAGTTGATCCAGGTTTGCACGTGCATTGTCCAGTGACAGGATCACATGGAACAGGCAGCGAACCATATGGATGGCACTCACATTCTTGACAAGATCCACCAGGAATTCTTGGATTCCCTGTGTATCCAGAGGAACATCTGAAGGTTGAAAAAATGCAATGAGAAGAATGTTCAGCTGCCAGTGGTTTTCTATGAAAGAGTCATGAAAAAAATCATAGGACTGGATTTACTTTTTTACTGGAGCAAGTCCTTGAAAGACAAGTGAAGGGGATGAGAAACACACTGCATTTGAAAGGGCTGGTATGCATTTACAGTTACGCAAATTGGTGTGAATATAACCTCCATCATACAAAATGTTAGGAACATAGGACAGGAGGATGTTCCCAAACAAGGGCATATGACCTGGTCAGATGTGTGGACTTGTATATGGAACTGGAAGAAATGACATGAAATATCTATCCACATGCTACCTCAAGACAGGTGCTTCAATACCCAAATGTATTCTTTTTCAAGTCTCAAGGGTACCCTTTTCTTAGCTCTCCTCTTTGAAACTTGAAATGGCATCTGTGATCCTGGCATGGTAGAGATAGTACTTCTCTAGTTTTTAAAATGATACTTTTTCATTTTTCAGTATAAATGGACTCATGCACCACAGTTTGAAGTTGCTGAATGTTTTCAGCAATGTTTCTTTTTCACTTGGTTTTTCATAATGGTTTACAGAATAGTCAATTTTGTTACATCTCATACCTGCTTTCTGTTGTTCCTATGAGCAATTCTTGATATTTTTCTTCATTGAATTTCATTCTTTTGATCTTGCCATCCTTCTACTTTAGGCCATGTTAACTTAGTTTTATTGCAGAAACATTCATGAAGCTGTGCTATGTAAGTAAGGTGCTTACATACCTAGCCTCAAGTGGACTCAGTGGCATGGAGTACCTTCTATTAGCTTAGACTGATATACCAACCATGACCCTATCTGGACAGGCAAAGCCTTGCTACAGTAATCCATGCTCTGGCAACCTCTCATTTGGATTACTGCAATGCACTCTATATGGGGCTGCCTTCGAAAAGGGTCCAGAAACTTCACCTGATCCAAAATGGGGCACCAAGGCTGTTAATGTGTGTCCCATGAACGTGGACACACTCTGGACCTAGTTTTCTCGATGGGACACGAAGAGGGGGATCTGAGGGTGAGGAACTTGTGTCTGACACCCTTGTCATGGTCAGATCACTTCCTCATAAGGTTTGAGCTCAAGAGTGGCCTTTCCCTCTGCAAGGGTGCGGACCCGATTGTATTGGTCTGCCCCTGGAGCCGGGTGGATCCTGATGGATTCCTGGAAGCTCTGGGGGATTTTCCTGTCGACAAGACTGGTGGTCCTGTCGATGCCCTGGTTGAACTGGGAATGAGGAGATGACCTGGGCTATTGACACAATCGCTTCCAAGCGTCCTCTCCCACCTGGCAGAGTCCATTCATCTCCTTGGTATACACCTGAATTACAGGCAATGAAGCAGGTTGGGAGACGTCTAGAGCATAGGTGGAGGAGATCACGGGGTGATTCTGACCGAACACACTTAAGAGTCCATTATCGGGCCTATGCTGTGGCGGTGAGGATGGTGAAGAAGAAATTCTTCTCCATTTCCATTGCCTCCTCACAATGCCGTCCGGCGGAGTTTTTTTGGGTGGTGCAGGGGCTGATACATCTGGGCCCGAAGAAAGATCTTGTGCCACCCTCGAAGGCCTGCTGTGATGACTTTGCCAGGCATTTAAGGGAGAAAATCGCTCAGATTCGCCACGAGCTTGACTCTACTATTGAATCAGATTCTACTGGGGACAGGCCATCGACACTGTCGAGTCCACAATTAATGGATGAATTTCAGTTGTTGCGGCCTGATGATGTGGACAAGGTGCTTGGACAAGTACGTCCTACCACTTGCTTACTAGACGCATGCCCATCCTGGCTACTTAACAAAGCCAAGCATGGGATTGGGACCTGGATCCTGGAGGTGGTCAACGCCTCTTTAAGAGACGGCCGGGTACCTGCCCCTTTAAAGGAGGTGGTAGTCCGGCCAGTCCTAAAGAAGGCATCCCTGGATCCAGAGGTGGCCACCAATTATAGACCGGTGGCCAACATCCCGTTCCTGGGCAAGGTACTAGAGTGGGTGTTGGCGGGACAACTCCAAGCAATCTTGGATGAAACTGATTATCTGGAGCCATTTCAGTCCAGCTTCAGACCCGGGTATGGCACTGAATCTGCCTTGGTCGCCCTGTACGATGATCTGTGCAGGGAGAGAGACAGGGGGAGTGCATTCCTGTTAGTTCTCCTGGACCTCTCAGCAGCTTTCAATACCATCGACCATGGTATCCTTCTGGATAGGCTAGCGGGATTGGGAGTTGGAGGCACCGCGTGGCAGTGGTTCTGCTCCTATCTCAACGGCCAATTTCAGAAGGTGGTGCTGGGCGACTATGGCTCTGCGCCACGGCAGTTATGCCATGGAGTTCTGCAGGGGTCCATTTTGTCCCCCTTGCTATTCAACATCTACTTGAAACCACTGGGAGAGGTCATCAGGAGGTGTGGGCTGTGGAATCATCAGTACGCTGATGATACCCAGCTCTACCTCTCGTTTTCCACCAATCCAGGTGAGGCAGTGGCTGTGCTGAACCGGTGCCTGGCCGAGGTAATGGGCTGGATGAGAGCCAATAAACTGAAGCTCAATCCAGACAAGACAGAGGTCCTGTTGGTGGGTGGCTCAGGCCTCGGGATGGGGGACTTGGGCCTTGTCCTAAATGGGGTTGCACTCCCTCTGAGGGACAGGGTTCACAGCTTGGGAGTGCTCCTCGACCCTGCGCTGTCTCTAGAAGCTCAGGTGACGGCGGTGGCGAGGAGTGCCTTCCTTCAGCTTCAACTGATACATCAGCTGCATCCCTTCCTGGAGAACGACTGCCTGGCAACAGTGACACACGCGCTGGTAACTTTCCGATTAGACTTCTGTAACGCGCTCTACGTGGGGCTACCCTTGAAGATGGTCCAGATACTTCAATTGGTGCAGAATAGAGCTGCCAGGTTGCTGACGGGGACTGGGCGTTGTTCTCATATAACCCCAGTTCTCCGTCAGCTCCACTGGCTCCCAATTGAAGTCCGGGCCCAATTCAAGGTGTTGGTTATGACCTATAAAGCCCTGAACGGCTTGGGACCTGGATATCTAAAGGAACGCTTGCGCCCATATATGTCCTCCCGCCCCTTGAGATCAGCAACAGATGCCCTTCTCCGGGAACCCTCTGTGAATGATATAAGGAGGGTGAGCACCTGGAGGAGGGCTTTCTCTGCGGTGGCACCCCATCTATGGAATGCGCTCCCCAGAGAGGTCCGCCTGGCGCTGTCGTTATTTGTTTTTCAGCGCCAGGCAAAGACCTTTTTATTTAAAAGTTATTTTAATTGCTAAATTATTGTACTAATTAGGATTTTAAAATTTTTAGCCGGGAATGCACCGGGGGTTTTTAAATGTTGTTGTTTTCTTCTTTTAATTGCTTTATTATTATTATTTATGTATGTTTTATGTATTCTTTGTGAGCTGCCCCGAGGCTTTGTTGCAATGGGGGTGGCATAGAAATGTTTTAAATAAATAAATAAATAAATAAATAAATAAATAAATAAAGGGGACCAGTTTTTGAGATCATATTATGCCAGTCCTTTTTCAGCTGCATTGGTTCTCAGCTGAAATCCAGGTTCAATTCAAAGTACTAGTATTCACATTTAAAGTCCTACATGGCCTGGGGCCACGCTATCCGAAAGAATGCCTCATCTCTTATGGAACTACCTGGACTCAAGATCATCTTCTGGGGTCCTTCTCTGAGAGCCCAAAGGAAGCAGAGAGGGTGGCCACCAGGAGAAGAGCCTTTTTGGTTGTGGCACTTTGGCTCTGGAAGGAGCACTCCAAAAAGGTGCACCTGGCACCTATTCTCTACTCTTTTTGGAAACTTTTTATTTGCCAAGTATTTTAATAGTTAACTTTTACTCTTAGTCTTTATATTGGTTTTGGAGACGGAAGGCGTTAGTACTGCTGCTATACCTGTGTACCAATTTGAGTGCAACTGCTGTGGTTTTATTGATTTTATTGTTTTATTGTTCTATTGTTTTATAAGCTATTCTCTTTGTTCATATAGTTGTTTTGTTGTTGTCGTTGTTTTTTGCTACTCACCCAGAGAGCCTTGGGTTATTGGGCTCTAGATAGATAGATAGCTACTGTAGATAAAATTGATGGAAAATGAATAGTGATGCTTAGCTAGAGTGAACTGAAATGGATTCTTCAAAATATAGATTTGCAAAAGAGGTCCTATGTGTTTTACCCAAGCCTGCAACTAAAATCCAGTAGCTCTGTAATGATTCTAGCATGTGCTAGAAGTCTTGCACATCATCAAATCAAGCAACAGGTGCTAATAGTTTGGGGAAATTACATAAGGAATGTTTATTGAGTTAATGAGTGAATCATTGCACTTGTTTCATTGCAATAATTTATGAAATAACACAGAACACTGCTATTTTTACTTGACTAACAGACAGATGTTTGCTGCTTGGATGCTCCTTTATTTCTTTTGCTATTTGCTTTCTGTTATTCATTGTTCCTTTTGTTCTGATAATTCTTTTTTACCTTTCTATATTTTTCCTTACCTTTCACAGTACTGCCCCTCGTATCCTGGGGCACATGCAGAACAACGATAATCATTGACTCCTTCCATGATGCATGAGGGACTAAAACTGAAACAAAACAAAACACAAGGCTCATTCTCTTTCAGGCAATATTCCTAGTTGCAGGTAATATTCCTACTGATTTTGGACACATCTGTCTGAAGTGTATGCCACTCTTTTGATAGAATGCATCTGGCCCTCTTAAGACAAGGGCATCGTAGTATGAATGGATACTTTCCCTCAGGTATATGCTTCTCAAGCTGCTCAGGGCTTTATACCTCCCCACACTGGCTGTTTGTACATCCCAAAATGTGCTGTTCCAGTGCCATGGAGTGGCATATACCCATGTGGGTTGGGTAGAGACCAGTTTCAGCCTTTCCTCTTTCCACTTTATTTTCCCTTAAGCATTTGCATGAGTGGGGTGGAATAGAGAAGAGGCTGCAAAGCAATTCACCATAAAGTGAATCTCCTCTTACCCCGCCAAAGAATAACAACTTTCCACTGTTTTCTTAATTTCTTCCCTTGACTGAATGATACAATGTAGTGCCTTCTCTGCTCCTTTGCGCCACATGCATCCATTACACCCCACATCTCCAAAAGTAAACAGAAAATAGTCCTGCCTTACTTGCCAATTCACTCACATAAGCAATTGCTGCTCAAATACTTTGCAAAGAGGAGGTGAAAATCAGATCTTAATAGCCTCCTTCCTATCCACCAACCTCCTCCAGTAACTAACACTGTCTTCCAAGCTTCCAGATACATTTGAAATAATTAACACAACCCAAAAATACAAAATCTTTGCACTCAGGGCTTTTTCTTCATGAGGTCATTTATCCACTTTATCACTTGTAGTTTTATCATAGAAAGGAGATTGAAGCAGTGTGTTAAAAACAAAACAAAACAAAACAAAACATTTCTTCTCTTGCTACATAACCTCTAGGTGGCGGTATGCCATAATGGAAAAGCACAAATGCACGAGAGGAAATTGCACCTTTTCTTCTCCAATCAGAAAGACCCAAATTTCCCTGCTCCAGAAAAACATGCAGAAAGAAGCAAATCAGCAACTAAAGAAGACTTAAGCATCCATGAGCATCAACTAATGAGTACCCTGTAATTGCCTAGTGTAGAATAGCTCTAAAATGTACAGAATATCCCAGTTGTAGAGACATGCACATTAAAGAAATACTTAAACTGAAAGGCCCCAAGCTTCTCCTTGTATATGAATAGTCCCTTCCTTTCTTTTCAGCTTGACTCTCTGTGGGAACAAAAGCTAGGCAAGGGGAAACGCTTTTCATAAGAGCTTTACTTACAATTTCTTTCTTTCTGCCAGTCTGCGTGCCTCTCGTCTGTCTGTCTGTCTTATGACACAGGTACACTCTCAATGCTCATGACTAGTGGTTTATGAGCATCCTATGCAGAGCAGAAAGAATGGTGGAGGCATAAAATGCAGTGTGGTAGGAATTCTCTTTGTTCATATGAACAAAGAGAATTCCTACCACACTGCATTTTAGCTAGATGGCCATTTTTGGATGTCTAGCTGAGGCACCTTGGAGTGGGAGGAAAGGAGTCTGTGGTGAACACAGGATAGGTTGTATCCTGGCCTCTCCAGTCCCTCCCCTCCCCTCCCCTCCCCACCCCACAAAAGCTCCCTTTCCTCCTCCCTAAGGTTGCATTCCTGAGAGGAAACTGACATCGTTCCTTATATTATAGAGGCATCAAGAGGATGGAGATTGAGCACAGATTCCAAGTTGTGAGGTTGATGTTGTGTTTCCGACCCCAGGTCTGCAATCTGAGGTATCCAATGGTCCCCCAGACGGAGGTCCTGTTGGTTGGCGGATCGGGCTTCGGAGAGGGTGGATTTGACCTGGTCCTGAATGGTGCAACACTCCCTCTTAGGGATAAGGTCCGCAGCTTAGGAGTACTCCTCGACCCGGAGCTTTCTTTGGAAGCTCAGGTGACAGCGATGGCGAGGAGCGCCTTCCTTCAGCTTCGGCTGATTAATCAGCTGCGCCCCTACCTGGAGTTCGACTGCCTCGCGACGGTGACACACACGCTGGTGACTTCCCGCCTAGACTTCTGTAACGCGCTTTACGTGGGGCTTCCCCTGAAGACGGTCCGAACACTTCAATTGGTGCAAAATAGAGCTGCCAGGTTGCTGACGGGGACGGGGCGTTATGCTCACATGACTCCAGTCCTCCGTCAGCTTCACTGGCTGCCCATTGAAGCCCGGGCCCAATTCAAGGTGTTGATTATGACCTATAAAGCCCTAAACGGCTTGGGTCCTGGCTACCTGAACGAGCGCTTACGTCCGTATATGCCCGACCGCCCTTTGAGATCTGCGGGAGAGTCCCTTCTCCGGGAATCCTCCATGAAAGAAATTAGGAGAGTAAGTACTCGGAGGAGGGCTTTCTCTGCGGTGGCGCCCAACCTATGGAATTCACTCCCCAAAGAGGTCCGCCTGGCACCGTCGTTACTGGTTTTTCGGCGCCAGGTAAAGACCTTTTTATTTAAACAACATTTTAATTGTTAAAATATATGATCTGGCCAGGGCAACTTCTTCTTCCTTCTCTTTTCTCCTCCTATATTATTTATTTACTTATTTTATACTGATAATTTTAATTTTATATTATTATGTTTGTAACTCAATGTATTTTTTGTATTTTTGTATTTAATGGTAATTTATTATGTTCTATTGTATTTCAATGTATTTTATTGTGTTGTAAGCCGCCCCGAGGCTTCGGCAAGGGGCAGCATAGAAATGTAATAATAATAATAATAATAATAATAATAATAATAATAATATCTGTGGTCCACAGAATCGCTCCCTAGATTCCAGGAAGTTGAGATCAGAATCTGTGGCAGTGTCATGCAATTTCTGAATGCTCTCATATGTTGTTCACACCAGCATTGGACAAAGTTGCTTGTGTTGCTTCAGCTTCTGAATTAGCAAGCAAACACATGGATAGTGAGCAAATAATTAAATAAATGGAAGTTACATGTACGAAAGCATTTTAGTGTTCTGATATGATTTTAGTGTTCTGATCTTTAGCATACTTAAAAAAGATTCCCTTTATTAAAAAGGGCCTGGAGAAATACCTTGATCAAGCCGGCATGCAAACACATGCACCGTCTTGATGTGGTGATTAACACTACATGTATATTCAGGGGTAAGCCACATTGTATTCAGTACGAAATACTCCCAGGAAAGTGAATAGAAGAGTTAGTGTAATCATATGCTTGCCTGGAAATAAGTCCTACTGAACACAACAGGATTTACTTCTGAGCAAGCATGGATTAGACTGCACTGTGAAAAACCTATATTTGCAACAGAAATTTCAGGGCTAGCCTCACATTTGGATCTTGCTGAAAAACTCCACTGGGACAGCACATGCCCTGTTCCAATTTCTGACAATGCAACAAATCTAGGAGGGGATTTCTGAATTCTTTTGGGCTGTTTTGGCTTCTCTGGATAATGAAAGCAGCAATGAATGGCTACTGCTACTGAAATTAATTGGACAGAGAACTGTGGTTAGTTTCCTCTCTCCCTCCTTGCCACCTTAATAGCCAGAGAAACTGCTGCTGGGCTGCATAAGCATCACATGTGCCTTAACATTTCTGTTTGCTTGTTTCATCCATCACAGGAAACCACTTGAGAGTCATGTAGTCCAATAAAATATATTTGAGTGCCACCAGCACAAGGTCTTGATTTATGTATCTTGTTCACACCTCTCCTGAAAATATTTATAAAACAGAGAGGTGGCTTTCACAACTGTTGCACACAACAGGCATTTAAAAACTAGATCAGGTGATTTCTGGCTTCCTTCCTTTCCCCGTTCTTTACCTTTCTCTCTCCACCTTCCTGGCCCCTACTCAGCATCTCAGATGATCACCTGCTCTGCATTGCAGGCCCAGAACCTTCTCCTCAACAAGATTCCACACAACAACCTGTTGTGCTGTATATGGTGGTGGGCGATTCAACACCAGGCTGCTGTAGGGTGATGCAACCCCAAGCAGGCACTGTTGCCAACTATCTATAATAAATCTATAAGTACAATAATAATAAATTAACAGTTAAAATAACTTTTAAATAAAAAGTATGGTCTGGACTGCTGGGAGCTTAGTCCAGTTTTGGTTGCTGATGTAATGCCTACACAACAGCTGCTTGAGGCCATTTTGGACCAGGACCACACCCAAACAGTCTTAAACCTGGACTGAGAATGACTTCTGCAGTGGATCTCCATGTGTTTGTTTACCAAACAAATATAGTATGTCTAGTCATCTTCTCAGTTTAGAGTTGAGCAGCTACTTAGAGCATGATCCAATGCAACTTTACCCAGAAAAAACAGCCTACAACTCACAGCATGTTCTAGCCAGCCATGCTGCCTCTGGTGTGGTGGATGCTGTAGGCCGTTTTTTTGTCTAAACTTGCATTGGATGATGCTTTTATTCTACATATTTCCCAGCTTTCCCTACTGTAAGCACCTGTTGCTAGCATCATAATCCCATTTCAAAATTTAAATACTAGCCAGATGCTATTGAACGTAAGATAATATGAACTTTGAGAGGGTGGGAATTTTTTCTGCCTGTCAAAGCTGCTTCACTGAATGTGAACTAAGGCATTGCTGTAAATACAGAGAAATGCTAACACCTCACATTTGCAGGATGCAAACTCAAGACATTACACATCAACCAATGGCTGTGCTTGCTTCATGTCTGTTCACTCACCTGTCTTAACCTGCCAAATGAAGCTATGGCAGGAATTTTCTAACATGATCTTAAGCTGTGCACAAACTTGAACACCTAAATCTCTGAAGGGCACATGGGACGATGTGTGGTTGTCTGAAATATATCCAGAATGTGTTCAGGCCTTGTGGGAATGTGGGTCAAGAGAAAGAGGGAGGACGTTATTAATGGAAGTGGATGCTGTTCCATTTCCAACTATCTGAGCAGCAAGGCTGTGCCAAATCAAAGACTGTGTATCTGTAGCCCCACACAACTACTTCCTCTTTGCTACGGCACAATGAGCAGCATCTTCTATCTTGCTTATAACGCGTTAAATCAATACTGCT